GCTGTCGATCCGTTTGGACTCTTGCGAAATGCGAAGGAAATAGAAGCGACCAGGCGAATCGTGTACGTTTCGCCTGGCTCGAATATTTCCACTTCTTCCCTGGTTGAATATTATTTGCGGCTGTCGATCCGTTTGGACTCTTGCGAAATGCGAAGGAAATAGAAGCGACCAGGCGAATCGTGTACGTTTCGCCTGGCTCGAATATTTCCACTTCTTCCCTGGTTGAATATTATTTGCGGCTGTCGATCCGTTTGGACTCTTGCGAAATGCGAAGGAAATAGAAGCGACCAGGCGAATCGTGTACGTTTCGCCTGGCTCGAATATTTCCACTTCTTCCCTGGTTGAATATTATTTGCGGCTGTCGATCCGTTTGGACTCTTGCGAAATGCGAAGGAAATAGAAGCGACCAGGCGAATCGTGTACGTTTCGCCTGGCTCGAATATTTCCACTTCTTCCCTGGTTGAATATTATTTGCGGCTGTCGATCCGTTTGGACTCTTGCGAAATGCGAAGGAAATAGAAGCGACCAGGCGAATCGTGTACGTTTCGCCTGGCTCGAATATTTCCACTTCTTCCCTGGTTGAATATTATTTGCGGCTGTCGATCCGTTTGGACTCTTGCGAAATGCGAAGGAAATAGAAGCGACCAGGCGAATCGTGTACGTTTCGCCTGGCTCGAATATTTCCACTCCTTCCCTGGTTGAATATTATTTGCGGCTGTCGATCCGTTTCCACTCTTGCGGAATACGAAGGAAATAGAAGCAGCCAGGCGAATCGTGTACGTTGCGCCTGCCTGGAGTGTGGCGGCTTCTCCCTGGATCAAGATTGTTCGCCCCGGTTGATCCTGAATACCTGCAGGGAACACAATGGAGGGCAATGCGGTGGGCGGGTCGCATGCGTTTCGCCTGCCTCGGAGTAATCTCTGTTCTGCTGTTGCTGCGTGTTCCCTGCAGCTGTCCGCCGACCTGGAGCCTAGCGAATCATGGGCAGGCGAATGGCGGCAGGAAACTGGTCCGCGGTTGGCCTGCCGGTGGGTCCTGCAAGTGTCTCCCGGTGTGGTTAGTCGGTGCAGCAGCCGCGCCCATTCATGGAAGGCGAGGCGACCACCTCAGCGGGGGCGTGCTCCTTGTTCTTACTTCGCCGAGCCACCACGCGAGCAGCGCCCCGCGCGGGTGGCTTGGCGACCGCGGTCGCCTGCCTCTCTTCTCTCCATGGCTAGCCACCATGCGACGAGCGGCTCGTGAAGATGGCTGCCCGCATACGCCCGCGTTGATGGGTGCCCGCCCACGGCCGCTTGCACATCCCCGACCATGGCTAGCTACCGTGCGCGGAGCAGCTCGTGGGAGTGCCTGCCTGCGCTTTTTGCTACTCAAACATGTTGCCATCGCTGCTTAGTCGTCAAGTTACCTGCTTTACTTTCTCTTGTTGCAGTAGCCTTTAGAAAAAAATCATGGGTAACCGATTCGTTGTGAATGTCAACCCGCAGTCGCAGTGCGATGACGCTCTGCACGATGAAAAACAGCAGGTAAAAGTTTGCATTTTGTTGATAGAGAAATAGGCTTCTCGTGTAGCTCTAGGCAACCTGTTGTTTCTCAGTGTAACCTTTCTCCCAATCACGATGGTACTTGACCACACAACCATGAGAACCATCGATCCCCCATCTCTTGCTGCTCGGCGACATGAACTCCTACAACTGCTCCGTTCGACAGTTCGCAATCGTACTGCAAGTAGTGCTCCTGATACTGCCCAGTCTTCTGTAGTAGTGCGGGAGGAAGACTGCCATTCTTCATCACATGGTCATTGCCATATTTGTGTTTCTGTTCCAGGTGCACAATCAGACGGCGGACGGCAAGTTGTTGGTCAAGAAAATGAAACAAGGCAGGGAGAGCGCAGAGGCCAAAAAAATGGACAATGAGAGCGACTCGGAGGAGTGCTTGCCGCCGGACGACCGCGACGTGCCGTATAAGTCGATGAAAAAAAATCTTATTGGGGTACTTTTATGATTTTGTTATGGTGACTCAGCACAGATTCCTGGTTTACGACTTGCTTAGCTTCTGACGACTGTAACTTGCAACTCATCTACCTGACACACGAAGAATTGACTTCACTTCGCCTTCCCCACACACAGCTACAACTGTTCGCCAACATTGGCAAACAGCCAGCAGAATTACGACGGAAGACTGCGTCTGGTGGTGGTGTGCAGAGAAATAACAAGTACGAACTATGCATGGAAATCTCGAGCTCACAATTTGGTCGTGAGCAAACGATTGCGTGGCTTGTCGAGGAAAGAGAGAGGCTACTCCAGAATATGCGATTGGCGATTCAAAAAGGGGACCACAAGATGTTCGTCAGCTGGGCGGTCAGAGCTGTTGATGTAGGAAAATTTCTTTGCGAATCGTGAGCTCCAAGAAGTGCACCAATGGAGTTTCCACCAGGAACTGATCATCTCCGATGAAGTTGCTCATCATTCATTTACCGCGCCACAACTACACTTTGGAGCAACTGACAATTATTTGTTTTGCAATTTGGAAGTGACATGCGACTCTGCTCCAGCAAATTCAACAAAAATTATTTTTTCATGACGGCGTAGCAATGAGCAAGCAACAAATAGATTTGGATTATTGCCTGGCAGCGTCCTGCTCGGCCGCTCGACGATATATGGAAATCACCAGCTGATTATTTGTTCATCTGATTTTTCATGAGTGATCACACCCGTGTAACAGAGCGATGCAAGAGCGAAACTTGGATTCATGCGGTCAAAAAAAGGCTGAGATCGTTCACTGTGTGTAGTTAGTCGCAGTTTGAGTTTGCAATTGGTGTAACCTGCAGTTTCAGTCTGCAATTATTCAACATGACCATGGTGTCGAACCGTTCGCCAGATCCTTGGCCACAGCCAGGCCCAACGCATAGGGATCTGATAACACCAATTCCGCCCGATTGGTGCCATGGCAGCTACCGGCCGGCTGACCTCGATGAGCTCAAAGGCAATCTTTTTAAAGACTACACGAACAGCTTCGTGTCTTGTGAAGAGGAGTATCTGGCCTTTCTCGAATGGCGGGATATGCGGGAAACGGAGCTGAGCATTCAGGAGGGATCCTGCAAAACGCCGCCACGACCAGTTCCGAAGCGAAAAACCAGCCTTGACTGGGAGGAACAGTGGCACTTGGCGGATCGTTGGGCAGCGCAGAACGGCAAGCGGCCGCTACCGCAGGACAGAGATGATGATCTGGATTTATGATCCCGCCTATCAACTTGCCATCTGCAAAGCCATCCTTTCACTGACATAGCATGATTACGGATGCTTTACCCGATGGTGCTGGTTGTTAGTCTAACGCCGCTCCTCATACAAGAAAGCATCATATCTGATGATGAACGCTTGAACGACCTGTTGAGGTCGCCACAACCGTCACGAAATTTTGTTTTCGAAAAAGAATACTGGGAACTCGAGGCACACTATAACCTTCTTTATGAACGACGGATGGATGAATACTATGACAAAACTGGCGATTTTGTATGCAGCTAAGAACTGCGGAAAACCGACGGATCCATGCGTTGCTGCTGGGACTACGATAACATTGGTGTTCTCTACAGCGACGACAAGAACTGGATGGTGAGTGAACCAAGGGACGAAGCGTGAACATAAGACTATCTGCGATCATCTCCTATCTCCTTTTTTGAAATGGTGCGGTTATCTAATAATCATTTGACTACAAATTGTTATCTATTTTTTTGCCTAGGAATTGTTATCTAATAATTGAACGTTTCATTAATATTATATGATTTTATTATTTTTGTATTTGTAAAGCTGATTCTGTTGGATTTATCACGTCGTTCACGAAGCAATATACTTGCATTCCTCGTCGTCCATCATTTGCTTGCTTGCTGATGGAAGAATCTGCAGCATCCGCACTATCAGATGCGGCAGCCGCAGCTGCAGATCAAGCTGCGCCTGCGATGAAAAAGCGCGGCCGTCCGCTGGGATCTTCACAGAAAAAGCAGACTAAGAAGCTTTCAAAAGCTCTGATCAAAGCTGAACAAGGACTGGATATGTTCCCCGACGAGGCCCCACAGGAAGTCCTCACCTCACGCTCATTCAAAGCACCCCTTCAGACAAGCTCATCAACTACAAAAAAGCACGACCCAGGCAAAGCTTCTTCTAGTGGTAGTCGTAGTTCTACAATTTCAAAGATGCCGTTGATACGAACATCAACCAGACCTATCACAACAAAGAGTGCTGGCAGTCGATCGCAGAACACGTCTGCTTCCAGTAGCAGCTTGATCCAAACGGCAGCTGCGCAAAAAAAAGGTCGTGCGAAAAAACAAGACCTTAACTTCAGCAGCGACGCGAACCTATTGGAAGAGGATGATAATAGGTCGGAGCATGAAGACGTGAGTGAAGAACACGCCAAGTCCCCAGAAGCGAAGAAGCCAAAGGGCAAGCCACTACAGCTGACCAAAAAAACAGCGATCTTAGAGGAGGCGTGCCAACCTTCATCCGAAGAAGATGATCAAGATTTTGAGTCGGATGATTCTGACGCGGACACCAGCACATGTGCCATCGACGTTGACGCTCTCCTGGACCAAGTTGAATCTGAACTTCCGGAGGATACAAGTAAGGCTAAAAATTCATATCGCCTAGCTTGCTTTTAGAAAGCAAGCCATTCGTCACTTGGGGGGCTACCGTGACTACTATTTTCATAGGGATTTTAATCTTCTTGTGTAGAACTTCCACCTACGACAGTTTCGGCTAATCGTTTTTTCGTCGACCCACGGCGAACGGGAGCGCCGCTCCGCGTCCTTACCGCGACGTACAGTCCCGGGTACGGTGTCGAAGCAATCGACAAAAAACAACTGTTCCGCCTCATCTTCGAGGTATTTGCAAGAATGAACAAGAGGAAGAAGTTCAATATTAAGCGCGTCAAAATATTCGTTGGCGAAGAAAGGTCCTTATCGCTCTTTTACCACTATCACTTGTGGATTGATTGCGAGGCCCGCACCCGGCGCTACGGCGAGTTCTGCAACTTGATGGACGAGCACGGCCCGTCGCTGTACTTCCGCGCCATGCGCCCAGGCCGCGGGCGCGATTCGCACGCAGAAATGCTCAGGTACCTCTACATACCACAGGCGGACAAAGTAGTGGATGCTCGGCCGAGTATTTTCAATCACCAGATGCCGCAGGCGGTGGTGGCGATGCGGCTTAAGATCATTTTTAAACGCAACAACAACAACACCAGGATAGTGCAAATTTGAACTATTCTGATGCGACCTGTTGTTGTCGCGGCAGCAGGCCTATCTAATAATCGGAGTGAGCTTAGCAAGCTTGCATCACGACCGATGGCGTTCACGGAGGCTTGGTTGTGGATAGTGGCGAACTTAAGGCATTCATCATAACTTTATTGGGGCTTGCGCTATTTTCCTGAACAATGTGAATCTAGCTCTAACAGACGAGGAACTACAGACAAGCGAGTTTGCTCTCGCAGACGCAGCGGTGGCGCGCGCGAGGAAGGCAGCACAGAGCGACAACGACGCCCCCTTGGACACTATGTGGCAAAGGTGCTACTTATCTTGTGTTCATATGCAGACTCCAACGTACAACATTCTCCATTGCCCAGCTGCCATTCCTGCAGCAGAATTCATGCTTTCAACCTCCAAGAATAATAAATTATTATTCCTCGCTCCACCACAACGCAGGTTTTGGAGGTGGTTGGTGAAGATCCCACGCAAGGATTATGAGCCATTCTTGGATCGCATTATTTCCAAAGTTAAAAAGGAGATTTTTGAGCAGGACCTTGGGGATGCAATTTCGCGATGCTTGGAATTGCCTTGCGTCTGCTGCGGCAGGATTGGCGGAAGCGAATGCGGTAAATACAAGGAGCTTAGAAGAATTGCAGAATATCACGACATCGGACCAGAACTAGGACTTTACGCAAGACGAATATTGGAATGTCATGCAGGACGCGAAAACAGCCTTATCCTTGTTGGTACTGGGCACACGGCTTAAATTGAGACTGTTTTTCCACCCGTTGGCGCTGCTCTTCATTCGTAGAATTTGCCTTGTTCCTCGTCATTGAAAAAACCACATATCCCTAACGAAATATTCTTATTCCGAAAATCCCCATTCGTCTTTCCCAGGACAAGACCCCGGATCGGGGAAAACGACCATCTGCTTTTCCTTAGCCGACTGCCTGGACCCCTTACAAGTATTTCGCATTGTGGAGAAAAGTTCATTTCCGTTTCACGGCTGGCAGCCGTTGCGATGCAGATGCGTTTGCTTTAATTTATGGCTAGTTGCATGATTTTCAAGATAAAAACTCATGGTCCTTACTTGACTGCTACAGCCTTATCCTCCAATTGTTTGCTAAACATAATCATGCTTGTACTCATAAGTCAGTCATGCTCGTATATTTTAGCGCTATGTCCTGGGCATGAACGATTGATTTACTGCGGCTTTAATGCCTGATTTACGACTCACACGAGAAATGGGACCCGCAACATTGCTGCCCCTGTTAGAAGGAGAACGATGGCTCCGACTGGATTATGGTTCAAACGATTCTTTTCCATTAATATTGTTCTAAAATGGTAGCATCAGCACTGCCTGATGCTCGTACCACATGCAGTGGCCGACGCTAGTTATTCCATTATGCTTTTTCTTGGTAATACTAATCAAACGCTCTAACGGTTGCAAAAGGGCTCAGCGCCACTAGGCCTGGGCCCATACAGGAAGTGGTTTTTGTTGACGAGCCAATATTTGGGCTGCGATGATGGAAGTTGGAGACCTAAGGATATTCAAGCGCTATACGATCGCGCCGGCTGCGTCATTGAGTTTCACAAGAGCCTAACGCCAGAATTCAGAGCACAGACGAACCCAAGCTTTGAAGTCGCAGACCCGTGCTCGCGCTGCATTAAGGCATCCACATGCGAAATTTTAATTGAGATTGCCATTTTCTAAATAATACACCTTACTTTAACAAACGCGCTGAATTTTGGGTGTGGTGCCTCGAACAAGCTGAATTGAGACCCAAAAAAGCGCTCAATGGAATCAAGCATCGCAGAACGCGAGCCAGCACTTACAATCTCCAGGACGAGCATCCAGCCTTGAAGCTCACGGACGAAGAGAAAAAACTCGTAGCATTAGAGAATGCGAAAATGCTCAACATCTTGAAACACGAAGCGGAGGAGGCTGCTCAATCCCCTTCCAACTCCCGTTTGCAGCAGCGTCGACGCAAAGCGGCGAAGCAAGGCACTATTTGCGAAGGCCTCCCCGCAAACGGCTTTGACGCATATCGCGGACCGCTAGCTGCACTGCCACCTGCAACAAAATACGAAATTCAAACTCCTGATCTTGACGACGATAACTACCATGACTCAATGGGGCAGACCATGGCACACGGCGACATGGACCAAACACAACCAGATGCAGGCGCAAGTAATTTCTTTCAGTATTAATGAGAAATTGATGATGCTTAGTTTGTAGCTAGCGTAGGGTCAAAATTGTTTTCACATGTTGTTCAATTTCAGCTCAGACAATTGATATTTACGAGTAACTATCCACACAACATATCAGTTACGCCTGCAGCGACAGAAGTCCCAGACGCGTTTTTCCTACCGCAGTTCAAAAAGAAATAACTTGGCAGAGCTTCTTGATTTGAATCACTATGCACAGGATTCAACTACAAAATGAAAACTTATATGACAAAATAATACGATGGGCACATATGACGATACAAGAACAAATTTGTTACGAAATGAGATTTATTATAACAGCTGAACACGAAAAAAGAACTCGAGATACTTCTACCAGTATTGGAAAAATCTATATTACTCCTTTAGAAACTGACTAAATTATTTTTTCCACCGACGAATAACTACTCTTGGATGGACAGCGAAGCAATTCACCGTACCCCACCATGTGTTCCCAGCAGAGAATTATTTCTCCCAGACCGCACGCTGCTGTTCCTCATCCGATCATCCCCACACCCCAGGGAGACTCCCCAAGGCTCTTCCGGGAAAGGGACCTGAAGAAGAGGGGGTTTTTTCGAAAAACCCGTTGGGGGAGTCTCCCTGGGGTGTGGGGATCACTGGATCAGGAACAAGACTTTGTGGACTAGAACCGGATGAGAATTCGAGTGTGGTGGAGGGGAGAGTCTCGAGTGAATTAGCTATAAGAAGATTTCATAGGATTGACGAGTTTAGAGCTTGCAGAAGTAAACTTGCAGTAATTGAGTTCACCTCACACCGGAGAAGAAAAAAAATGTCGCCGCCTATTGGTAGTTTGCTTGGGAAAGTGAGCAAAGTTGCAGAGGAGCTTCGCAGCATTGGAACGGACTTGATTCACTTGCGTGAGCGCCAGCGCGGTGCCCAGGCGCGCGCAGATGAGTTGTTTCAGTGGGTTATGGAGCATTTTGATACCAGTGGGGGTGGAGGTATTCCTTGGTTCTTTCTTGTGGCAATGTTGACATGCTTTTACTTATTGAAAAATTTCATGTTCTGTCAAGGAGTTTTCATCCTTCATAGCGGAAACTTATGTCCAGGTAGCGCAGGAGGCGACGATGGTACCAATGGTGGAGATGGTGGAGGTGGTTTGAAGCGTCAGCGTGCTTTGGCTAACGATAGTATTGGATTATTTTATGGTTCGACTGTTGTTGTGGGATCAAATTCCTGTGTATGCAGTTGTTTATGAAAAATTTAAATTGCGAGTAGATTTTTGAATAGAAACTTTACTCGAAATATAGATTGTGAATGATGATTATTACAAAATAATGCTACTTAACCTTCTCATTAGGTATGCCTCCTGCGACGCAGATTGATTCTGAGCAGCAGGCGGCTGCTGACACGGACCAGAGCATGGGAGGCAGTTGGGGTGGAGCGTCGCAGATTGAGGGGTTTCCCATGGCAAGCCAATCGAGTATGGGCGGCGCCGCAAGCCCTAATCCTGGTACCGATGGAGGCGTGCCTTCCAGTCAAGCTGGCGGAGCAGCTTTTTCTGGTGCCAGTTCGCGTTGGTTAGCCAAGCGTCCTGCCACCAACGGCAGCTGCGGCATGAGCACAGGTTCGAATGCGTCTTCCGCGTCGTCGGTCATCTTCGGTCTCGGTGGATCCACTGGAGGTCCATCTGGCGGTGATGGTGGTGAACTGACCTGGGGAGAAATTTGGGTCAGCAAGTATATCACGGAGAATCGTATTGCTTGCCCGCATCCTTCGATGAAGATGAGCGATGGGGAATCTGCTGGTACTAGGTTGGTAAGTTTGGAGATTGTGTTTGTGTCGTTCCATGTACAGTTTGGTTGGTCAATTTCAGAATTTTGTTATGTTCATCTTGATTCCGAAATATGCTGTTGCTCCATCTTTGTTATTATTTGGATGAGATTAGTATGCACCTAATTGTCATGCAGGTCTTTGGGCTCGCCACGAGGGGCAGTTTATGGCGGAGAGGCGCCGGAAGGGCGACGAAGACCTTACCCAGAAGGCTGCAGAGTGGCGCCAGAAGCTACACCTCCGAGCGATGAAGAAATTTTATGTGTTGCAGCTGGGGAATTTGCAAGATCGACACCAGGCAACCGACCTATCGCAATGGGAGTACACGTTCCTGAGCGGTTTGGATTTCCGTTTCGATTTCAGTCCCCGCCAAGACGTCTCTCTCTACTTAAGGCTGCGCTTAATCGCATGAGGGAAAATCAGAATATGTGCTTGCGTGATTCACAATCATGATCTTTGTCGGTGCTCTACTAGACTGAGCTCGTTTTGTAAAGGAGTTTTTGATTTGATTTGTATTGTCGTCAGTAGTAATATCTCTCTAACACCGAAAATCCTGTTCAAGATTCTGGGAACGGAAATTTCGCATCCAGCTACCGTCACGAAGGACATTGTTGGGAACAATGCGAACCCGTACGCGCGAACGTGAAAAATGGTGACTAGGAAGACGAAGTGATGTGATGACGAGGAGGAAAAGTGTTGGAGGAAAGAGAACATGATGATAGGTCGTTTGTGTTTGTATTGTGACATTTGTAGTACGTAGAACTTTTTTTTGAGGAGCGATGAGAATAGGAGTTGAGAATCTGGTATCGTTGATTGCTCTGTTAGGTGTCTGGATGGAGATGACTCTATGCAAGTGAAACAGATGTGTGTGATTAGAGATTTATGAAGAGTTTCTGTTTTTGAAAATCAATCTGGTGAGCGTGTCCTAGGAGATTGAGGCTTATTAGAGGAAACATGGCATGGCTTCTAGTGAGACGGATATGTAGCTACTCATTTGCAAGTGGTTGTTGTGTAACGAGTGGAGCCTGTGTTATTGGCATTTTTATATGGATAGTAAAATCATGCACGTGTGGAGGTTTTCATTTTTGTGCTCCTCTGTGGTCTTTGACCACCATGAACTGCAGGATTGACAGATGACTGAACGTTTTTTCCCGACCTGATAGGTATAGAGCATTGTTAGTTCCTTCAGTACGAAGGTGTTTTGAAGATTGCAACGACGACACGAAAATTTCTTTTCTGGGCATAATCATCTGCCATCTAGATTGAGCGTGACTTCACTGTGAGAGAGGATCGAGCGGTGGTTATTAAAGATGCCTCGCGCAAGCTTTCGTAATGTTGAACTCCGTAAGGAGTTAAAAAAGCGTTTGACGAAACTGAAATCGGCTGGAAAAAAGTATGCTACTTTGTATCCTAAGGTGTGCCGTGGTCAAGCTAGTCGTGCACAAGTGGACCGTATTGGTCAATTAGTTGATGAAGGAAAGTTTGAAACACGCAAAATTATGCATCTCGGCCAGCGCATCATCAAAATCGAAGGGGCCCTTGCGTCGAACGCGGGCACCTTCTCTGGCATCGTCTCGACAGTTTTGGGCGCTAATGCGGCTGCTTCCTTGAACAACGCGGGCTTCTGGAACGGCGTCCTCGCTCCAATGCACGGCGATCCGCTGCTTCACTCTGTCTTCGCAGTTGGGCCAGGCGATCCGGATCTGCTGAACGGACCTCAGGATGGGCCGTTCGCCCAGAATGGCGATGCGATCGCGGACGCAGCTTTGGATGCAGCATTGGATATGGCGGTCGGTGGCGTGATGAACCCGATCGAAGTCGCCGGCAATTCGCAGGCTGCTCCGGTGAATAACGACGCTGTTGTGCAGGCTGATCCGGGTAATAACGACGTGGATTTGCAGTCTTCTCCGGCGAATAACAACCGCGTTTTGCAGGATGCTACTGGCGGGCAAAGCGCCGATTCGGGATCGCAACAATCGACTCCGGTGTGAAGTCCTCATCGGCAGGACAGAAAGCTCGTCTAATGTGCCAGGAGGCGACAGCATGCGGGAACAGATTGGGTTCAGATGAGCTTCAAGTGTAAGCTCTTTGGCGCACACGTACTGCGGGATGGGCATCATGCGCGTGTGGGTTAGAAGGCCACCGAGGCATGGTGGACTAGATATAATTACTGATTGGTGATTACACTTCTCTGTCGCGAGGTCTCTCTCTCTGTCGTGTGACTGTGAGAGGGAGTGTGTGGATAATCATCAAATCAAAATCATCGTTGCTCTCGAAAAAAATATTAATGATTAATTATTAAGGATATCTCTTCGGAGTGTCGTTTTTGGATGCCGGCTGTTTCACCATCAAAGATAATGAATTAAATGATGAGTTTATGAGACAACGATAGATTTGTATTTTCCGATCTGCTGGGCTTCACGTGGGAATATCGACCGATGAGGTGTTTGTTTGGACAGCGTATTCTAGTCTTTTTCCCTCACAGTCACATGGAGTCCTGTACTTCTCATTCAAATCGGCATTTCTTACCCATTTCCGGCCACAGTGACCAATATTGAGTTTCCACATTCCCACTTTTGTTTTTGGAATAGTTTTTTAGTCGTACTCGTGTGTTGAGTTAGTGATAATTAATGATATTGGGATCGTGGTGCATTTTTGATTTTCATAAAATTAACTCCTGCATATGGCAATATGATTGATGCGTGATTCCTCGTTGACCTTCCGTAGAGAGTAGATTGGCAAAATGAGCAGTCTTGCTGTCGATGGAGTGAAGTGCTCGAAGTGCAAAGCGGTGCGGGAAGTGGTGGCGTCGAGCACCTTAGTCGGACGCCTCGTGTTCCAGAACTGGTCTCGCTTCGAATGCAGGCACGTTGGCCTGGTAAATCTATTTTCGCTTTGTATCCGCTGGCAACATGTTTGAAGGAATATGCTTGTCTATTTTATCTATGGGGAGTTGTTCTAGATTCGGCGGTCATTATGATTTAAGAACTTACTGTCGTACTGGATAGTTGGTGGTCGCTGAAAATGATTATTATTTTAATATAATGCAGGCTTGTGGGTCCATTCAACAATGCGGTTATGCGCAGCTTGTGCCACGACATAAGAGGGCAGCAGTAGCTGCTGCAGGAGAGTTGGCGGTGGAGCAGTATTTGTCACAAGCTGCGAGCGATATTGCAGCGGAAGGAACTGCGCCGCGAGCTGCTCAAGGTTCAGTTTTACCTTCCCGTGGGCCTGCGAGTAAAAGGAAGGTTATTTTCGGTAAAACCTCTGCTGCTGCTGCAGCTCGCTATGCCGCTGATATTCGGGACGGGAAGTCGGTACTTACGACTTCCAAGAGGGCTGCAGCAGACGAAGGCGCGATCTCAGCGAAAAGATCAAAATCCATAGCAGCATCTTCTCCTCCTAGTTCAATAGGACAAGCAGCACCTTCATCTATTGGAACAATAGGACAAGCATCATCTTCTTCTTCTAGGCCAATAGGACAAGCGTCATCTTCTTCTTCTAGGCCAATAGGACAAGCACCATCTTCTTCTTGTAGGACAATAGGAGCAGCAGCTTCTTCTACTTGTGGGACAATAAGGCAAGCAGTAGCACTAAGCCTTGGCAATGGGCCATCTTCTGCTATTGGGACGAAATCAGGAAAGAGTGCAACTTCTCCGCGGCCTTCATCTTCCTCTGCATGGTCGGAAGACGATGGAACAGATTCCAAAAAGCCTGCAGCATCAGCTTCAGGCGGGAAAAGGGTAGCAGCATCGTCTTCCTCTGGGAATCCTGGGAAGAGTCAGTCGGGGGTGATGGCTGCGTCGTCTATGTTTCTATCGCGTGGGAGTGGTGGCCCGGGGAAGCCTGCTGATCACACAAAACGAGCCGCCTCCGCATCAGAAGGGCAGCCAGGGGGAAAACGGGGGCGGCCGAAGAAGCACATTCCCGGGAGTGATGATGACTTCAGTGATTTGTCTTCAACTACGGGGGATGGGGACGGAGGGCCAGATGATGAGGACGACGATTCTCACGGGTCGGGGGACGAGGAGGAGCAACAGAGTGTGTGGGTGGTTCAGCGCATTTCTGGGATGAGGATTCGTCAACGTCCCAATGAGGAAGCTGAGCGAAGGACTTTGCAGGGGGTTGTAAATCGGCGCAAGGAGAGGATTTCGGGCAGCGCCGCTTTCTGTGCTCTGCGTCGGGAGGGCGCCTTGTCGGCGGCGATGATGAAGCACCAACCGCGAAGCAACGTGGCCCGTGCATTCATTTCCCGGCTAATGGCTTCGTGGGAGGTGTTTAACCCGGTTAGCGGGGTGCGGAGGTTGCTGACGGCGTTGCCACGGTCAAAGGGGAAGCACATTGGGTCAGTGCAGAACAGGATGCGGCGATTCGAAAACGTTCTGCGAACGTGGAGCGCGTGGTGGGCGTTGAAGCGGCGCCTTCGGACGGTTCTGCAGTTGCCAGACGGGGCGAGCCTGAGGAACCACGTCGACATGAGCAATTGCGACGAGGTCCCGTGCTTACGGCGGTACGCTGAAGTCGGGGGCTATTCGTTAAATTTTTCGAATATTAACGACGACAACTTTGCTTACGCGAGGGAGTCGGGCGTGCTGCATGGTTCCATTCTCATGTGGGTGCACTCGGATCCGGCGTTGCGCATTCCGCCTACGGTTGTGCTATCTCGTGATTGGGTGATTGGTTCGAGCAAGAAGAAGCGGCGACGATTCCGGCGGTGCGTGGATGCGGTGAAAGGATTCGGGGAGGCGCGTGTGAGTTCGGATAACAAGCGAAGCGGGTACTTTGACAGGGATTTGTTTTGGGCGGATATGCATCGGCTGGGGAGGAAGAAGGTGGCGGCGCGCGGGATCAAGCGGCCGCTGGTGGTTCTCCTCGACAGTGCGAACTTCCACTCTTACACCCCTGCGGAGGCGCAGGACTTCGAGGACCAGTATGGGATCTTTCTCCTAAAGATTTTGGGTGGAATAACGCCACTAGTGCAGCCCGTGGACGTGTGCAACATCGCGAGCAACGTGCGAAACTGTGGCCAGATGCTGGCGGAAGAGGACAAATGGGCAACGACATTCGAGACGGCCTCATACTGGACGAGCTTGCGGGAGCGGGAGGAAGAGCGATGGCACCAGCTGCAACACTTCGAGAAGTGTGGTTTCAGCTTGGACGGGGATGTTTGCGAGGAGGTTGGTTCAGAGTTGTTCATGTTCTTAGCGCGGACGCGTGAACTACATCCGCAGAAGGTGGCTGCTCTTGATGCGCAGTACCACCGTCAAGCGGTCCGCGGCGCTGCTCCAGTGAGTGGGTAGCGCCGAGTAAGTAGAGGAGTAAAATGAGGGAGGAAAGGGCATTTGAATGAAATTACCTTATCGCTGTCGTTTCACTTAAAGCAGGGCTCTGAGGCTTTCTAGCAGGTCGTTTAGGTCGTAGTGCTTTAGTAATCACAGCGCGCAAGCGATGGCAACACAAAAAGGAGAAGCAAAAGGACGCAATCGGGGAAGGGTTTGGGGCCTTTCTCAGCCCGCAGAATTGTCCAAAAAGTTGCCGAAAAATCTAAAAACTCGAGCACTTTAATGGGAGAAATTCAAGCCGATTTATAAACAAGAGAGCTTAGGGAAATCCATGCGCCTTTAGCGTTTCAAGGGGTTGGAAAATAAAAAAAGGCGGCGAAGACAATCCCCACTGATGTGACTTTTTTCCCTGTCCCCTTTCTTTTTTGGCTGGGGGTGGCTGCACAACGAAAAAAAATCACATCAGTCGGGATTGCTTTTGCCGCCTTTTTTTCTCCTTTCTGGCTCGGGTGACTCGCCTCTCTCGAAAAGTTTACAATTTTGCTAATTTTTGCAGCGATGTGCTTCAAATTTGCGAAGATCGAATCGTTTCCGGTTAGACTTTCTACGGCTCTAGAAATTCCAAAAGTGTTAACAAATTAAAAAATTTAGGAAACGGGAAAACAAGGAAACTCGCGAACGCGTGCCCGGTTTCGAGTGGTGCTAGAAGCTTAAACGCCGGGCAAGGGCTGCCAACAGGCCCCCAGGCTGCTGCTTTCAAGTTACAAAGTCGCCAGGAGCTCGATAGGCTTGCCCTTGCTCCTTGTCTCTGTTTGATCTGAGCCCTCCCAAGCCCGACCCAAACCAAACTCGAACCAAACTCGAACCAAACCCGAACCAAACTCAAACCAACCACACCCAAACCAACCACACCCAAACCAAACCAAACCAACCACAAACCCGAACCAAACCCAAACCAAACCCAAACCAAACCCAAACCCAAACCAAACCCAAACCCAAACCCAAACCAAACCCAAACCCAAACCAAACCAAACCCAAACCCAAACCCAAACCCAAACCACACCCAAACCCAAACAAGCCCCAGGCTGCTGCTTTCAAGTTACAAAGTCGCCAAAAGCTGAAGAGGGTTGCCCTTGCTCCGTGTCTGTGGTTGATCCGAGCCCCCCCCCCCCCCAAACCAAACCCGAACCAAACCGAAGCCCTAACTCAAACCAAACACAAACAGAAACCAAACTGAAACACAAACCCAAAGCAAAACCGAACCCGAACCCGAACCGGGAACAAACCCGAACCCGAACCGGGAACAAACCCGAAGCAGGCCCAAACCAAACCGAACCCAGACCCGGGCCAAGCTTAGACGCGGGCCGAACTTATTCCAACCAAACCCAGGCAAATCGTAGACCAAACCCGCACCGGGCCCAGCTCGCCAGGCCTCGGCCCAGGCGCCTGCCTAAACCAAATCCAAACGCAAACCGACCAAACCCAACGGGAGCCCGCCCGACCCCAAACCTAACAGACGCGCCCAAAGCACGCCCGGAGCTCGAAGCAAGGCCGGAGCCCGCAGCATGCTCGAAACCCGGGCCAGGCCTGCCGCTTGCGCTGAGTCTCAGGCCGGAGCCGGGCAGGCTGCGACGCGCTGCGCGTGCGTCTTCTCGGCTCTTCTCTCTTCTTTTTCTTGGGTTTTCTGAACTGCAGGGAGCCCGCGGCCAGCAGCCACCGCAGCGCGCCCTCGAATCCCGAGGAGCGAGAACGAAGCGGGGAGAAGAACAAGAGAGGCGAAGGGAGGGACTTGGGCGGGGCATGGTATGGCGATGGGTGCTGCGGCTTTGGCTGCGCGTGGTCCTTCAATGCTGACACGGTCAACGCGGTCCCGCCTGTGTTGCCTCTGTCTTCTCTTCTGTTCCCCACTCGTTTCCCTCTCTTCCAGGAGATTCGCGGGTGCGCTGCGGTGGCTGGTGGCGGGCTGCACTGCGTGCGCAGTGTGTCCGCCTCGGTCTTCTTCGTGCTTGGTTCGCTCCCGGGATTCGAGGGCGCCGCGCGGTGGCTGGCGGTGGGTGCTGAGGCGAGTGCAGTGCGCTGCCCGTCTTTGTCTTTCAGGACGCTCCAGCGGGGTCTAGGCTGCTTCAAGCCCAGAAGCCCGCCCGGGGTCGGGGAGCTCTGGCGACTAGAATCGACACGCGGCTGGGGTCTGTTTTGGTTTCGTTAATCAGGGGGGGTGGTCTCTCCCCTCAACGAAATGAAGCCGCTGAGGGTCTTGCCGGGGAGGGGTCGAAATTGTCCAAATTTGACCCATCTGAGGCGTGTCCGTCTGTCATTTTGGAGACACTTCGAGACGGCTCCAAACTTCCGCCAGAACAGAGAGAAAACCAGAACGGGCGCGGGACTCCTTCGGGACCGCGGGCCCCTCTGGAGTCGCCCCGACGCATTTGCGGCAGCCCGGTCGGGGCTCATGGGTGAGCCTTCTCCAGGCTCCTCGGAAAGCCTGGGGGGCTGTGCGCGGTTTCCCTTATGCAGGGCCAGAATTTTAAACGCCGGGCAAGGGTACCCTGGCCCGGCGTTTAAGCTTGTAGCGCGACTAGATTCCCCCGCCTGGCTATGGCTTCCCGATTTTTGCCCGTTTTTTAATTTTTTTGGTTTGGTAGCATTTTCGTGAGATTCTGCAGGGCCTTCCCTTCATTTTGGTAAAAGTTTGGAGTCTCTCCAAACTGATCCAGCCCCCTCTAGAAAATGAAAGGGGCCAAGCTTTTGAAAAAATCTCTGCCACGTCTGCCACGCAAAAAAAGAAAGCTGGCGAGACGAAACAGGAGCAGAGTGACTTTTTTCGCCGAGCTGCCACCTCAGAACTTAAGAAATTAAGAAGCGCCAGCGCTTTTTTCCGTGGCAAGAATCTGCTAGACAGATTTGGAGCAACATGGATCCTAACATTCTTTGAGTTATAGGGATATTATATAGTTGATGCAGATTCTTGCTTGTGGTTAAAAAATGCGCTTACTTGTAAGACGAAATCTTAGTATTTGACTTGTAGAAGAATTTAAGAGGAGACTTTTTACAGTGAAGACGGTCGTCGACGCGGTGAAGGTATATCCGGGCTCGGCGAATCAAAGCCATTACGCAGCGAAGGTATCCAACGCTTGATCAATGGTGTACACTATATTCAGGTTACGTATGGATGCCGTATAATTATATTACATTAATACTATTCAGGCGAAGTTGTTGAGACATATACCTAAACATATAGTTGTTCTGACAGATTGTGGCTCTTTATTTGGTTGCTTCAGGGTGTACACTACGAGCGTGTTTGGAGGGTGCTTCAGGGTGTACACTAAGGCCAAGCATGAAGGTATCTCGCGGATTATCTTTGAGCGTGTTACTGCTGAAAACAACGGGAACGACCTGCGACCAGCTTTGCTTGAGGCCAAGGCTATTCTCCAGAGGATGAAGGACGAACCGGGCCCCTTCTTAGCCTCTCGAGCAGCATGGAAAGAGAAGCGTCGAATGAATGCAGCAATCAAGCACGAAGGCCGGCCGAGAGCTGCTGGCAACTTGTCCACTAAACCAACAAAGAGGAGGAAGAAAGGAGTGCTGTAGAGCAGGGCTTGTCTGTTGAGTAGTCGTCAGTAAAAGAAAAAAAGACTAAGACAAAAGTAGTTAGAAAAAGTAGGTAGTAGTTAAAACTTTCAGAAGCCGGAAGTTAGAGTTAGTAAGTTAGCGTTGTACCGTGCAGGCTTTTTCAGTGTTGTTTTTACGAAACTTTGGCGTTTCTGATTTTTCTATTTTTCTAGTCGGTACTTGGTAGTAGTCTATAATGAGGTAGTCTCCCTTCGTCAGACTCAGTTGCTCTCGTTTACTCATTTCCTCATTTACTCAGTTGTCCAAAGTAAAAGCTGTCCTTCCGTTGAACTATTGACTCTGTGTTTACTGACTAGTCCTGAAATCTTGGTGGTGTTAAGTATTTGTCCTGCTTCCAGTTAGTATTAGCTGTCTCTTCCTACTAAAGGTTGATAGTGTGTTATTGAGCTGTGTCTTCTTTAATTATTCTTCTTAGTGTTTATCCTTCCTGAGCTTCCGCCCTGCTGGGTGTCTGTTTGAAATATTAGCTTTCTTTCTTCTTACCGTTACCAAACTAGTTGCCTCTGTTATTTATCTAAGTGGGGTTCTCTTTCTGCTGTGACTAACTTGAGTAGGTGGTAGGTAGGTATCCTGAGGGGATGCGAGTCTAGTAGTCCGTCAGCAGTAAGTAGTAGGTGGCGGGTAGTTGCTTAGAAAGTTTCTTGGTTTTCTTTCTGTGTGGTGAGTCCTTCATGCTGTCTCCCTACTTTCTGTTGATTGCGAAACGTACTGCGCCCCTATTGGTGGCCAGAAAAGCTGAGGCCGCTCTTTCAGTAGCCCCAGGATACAAAAAAAAAAAGCAAACTTTTTCTGAAATCTCCAAATCCGAATGCATGTATTTGCATCGGAGCACCTACTTTTCATCAATATACTAGAAGGCACTTGGTTCTGCTGAAATGAATGCAAGGTAGAAATAGCATGCTCGAGATTGCATTTTTAACATCAATTGAGTAAAAGCAGCAGCATCATGATCGCGTCAAGAAATCTATGGAAGATATTTAGAAGATTTTAGTAGAAAGAAGGACTGTCCTGCAACGAGGAGACGTTTCTTGAGGATGCTAGGACTTGTTTGAAAAAATTCATAAAAGTTTACGAATGATCTTCTCGTGTTGTCTTCGCCGCTGTTTTTCCGGCTGTGCTACGTGAATCGTAATTGTATTTTTGTTAGGCGACCCATCCACTGTAAAGCACATATGAATTTGAGCGAATTCGAAGGGCTAATACTACTGAAAAAGGCAAAAAGAGTGAGAAAAATCTTTGCTGGGCACACTTGGCTGATAATTCTTGTAAATAACAGGTGAGACATTTTTTTATAAGCTTCAACATCCATAGACTTGAAGGCAAAAATGTCGACCGTGCGACCGTGGCGCCATCGCCACGCAGCATTATCGTGGTGTTGCAGCATTACACTTTTTTCGGGTAGTACTAGACCGGCGCTTGCGCGCCTGGGCCATTACAAGGTCTCTAGTGGAAGCAGGTCAAGGAAGGGGAGCTTCAACTCAAGGAAGAGCAGCTTCAATTCAAAGAAGGAAAAGCCGTCAGAGAAAAAAGATGACACAGAGGAAAAAGACAAGTCAGAGGAAAAAGACGAGTCAGAGGAAAAAGACAAGTCAGAGAAAAAAGCAGACTCGATAAGTATGGAACAATCGAATCTGACCAGTGGCGTTGGAAAGGTGACAGCGAACGAAAATTACGAAGAAACATATTGCTTATGTTTTACTTAGTGGTTTAGGCGTTGGCCTCTTCACTTATCACTTTCACCTCCATTGCACTTCAGATATATTTAAGCAACAAGTTAATTTTCTTTCGTTTTATTCACCCACGATGCATTCACATAATGCTTTCATTTGCAATTGCAACTGCGAGCACTTGAGATAAAGTTCTTCATTCAACAAGCAGTCACTATGAATTTTCAGAAAAACTAACTGCCCACTATCACTATGGAAAACTTATCATTTATCACGGAGAATACGTTTTGTAATTCTAAGAAAAGCTGAAATATTTTCGGAGGAAGCGGCAGAATGATCCAATGCAACTGATCGACGATCCAATTGTCGATACTGCAGACCTGGATTAAGGCCATTTTCTAGATTCCTTTTTATAGATGGTCCCTTGATCATTTTCATTTTCTACCTGCACGAAAGTGAATACTGGAGCGGTATGCGCTACATGATCCCAAACTAGTAGAGGACACATAACCTCAGCTCAACAAGTAGGTACTTCCAAGTGGAAAACATGACGATATGTTCGTTTGGATGAGACAACGATGTTTTCGATTGGACGAGAGGATCTTTGAAAATGAACGAGGAAGAGGGCCTTAGAGCTCTACCTTTTCTAATATCCGCCGGCGCCTCGCGCTTTTTCGGGCAGCGATGACACGGCTGATCTGGATCCGCACAACAAAATCAAGCCTGTGACTTTTGCGGTCATTAAGGTCCCAAAATTTCAGCACTTTTTTTACTACAGGACGACCGCTCCGCAATCTGAAGAGAGGTAGGGATAGCATACGCTGATGTAGCATACGACTTATTTGCTGACTTTACTAGTGCGCAATATTGCTCTAACCCTCTCAAAATCAAACAAACCGTACTTGATGAATTCTTTCAGGCAATATCTTCATAATATCCTATCCGACACTCCTCATCTAATCTAAACCTCGGCACGAAAAGACAATCTTTATGGGGGTCGTACCATATTGCACTGGAGGAGCATCCTGACAAGCGAGATGCAGCGGACGCAGACGTTGTCTTCGTACAATATTCGAACGCGCAGGCAGCTGCAGGAGGCACACAGTTTTTCATTTAAGTATCTCGACATCTTGAACTTGAACTTGATGATGAATAAGCATCTATAAGAATTTTTACCAACAGAATAAAACTGAACTTTCATCTACACACTTTGGCTGACGTCGTCATTTCTCTAAGGCAAGGCCTCAACTGGGCTTGAATAGTACTGGAAAGTAGCGATGTGATGGGGTAGTTCCTAGACCTAAATCAGTGAAAGACTTCTTACAGAAAAATCGTTTTTCGATTTTCTAAGTCTAGGTAAAAGTCGTATTTAGGTAAAATATCAAGGAACGGTGACCAGCTGTTCTAATTTGTGCGTCGCGTAGACACTTACGACGGTGGAGAACAGTTTCAGTATCAGGATGAGACACAGGAATACGATACAGACACAGGAGCTTTCACCCAAAAGGAACAGATGGAGATAAGAAGCCAAGCAGAATTTTTCCGGTCGTTGAGCGACGAGACGCTGTTTCCTCCTCGCAGTCCTGAGCGCCCCTACGTAGTCCAGATGAATGGCGAATATAACGTGGGACCCTCTCTCCGGAATTTCATCCAGAAACTTATGATCAGAAAAGATCAAAGGCTGCCGTCTTGGACTCATACATACAGAAGTACAAATCAGAAGTAGTATTCACAGTACCCATAAAAGTACAATTTATTAGAAAACGTCGAATTGTGGCTCATAGAAGTTGTACAACCCAAGGTCAACATGATGACAGTTGGCGCAGTGAATAGATAACTAGTCAAAAAAATGCAAGGAGGAAAGCCAAAATATCAAAGAACCAGAACTGAAAGGTAAAATGTGATTGAGTGAAAATTAAATCACTGTTTGAAATGTGGCTGCTAGATTATGCGAGTATTTGTTGTTTTTCCTGCTCTCCTTGTCCTTTTTGTTTTTCCTGCTCTCCTTGTCCTTGCTTCATATAACGTGCGGTCGGGCTTCGAGCTAAAGAGGGGTCGTCCGAGCTCGGTGGTGACTTCCTCTTCATCAACTTCGAGAGGCTCATGCATGATCAGGAACAGAATACTACACGACACGCACTTCCTGGTGTCACTTTTCCATACGGGAACTGCGCCCGTGCCAAAGAGCTTGATTAAGAAACTTCACTTCTACTTATAATCACTACTTATAAGTGATGAAAGTGGTCTTGGTCTTGCTGCAGCAAGTAGTACTTGATCCTGAGAAAGAGCTCGATTAAGCAACTTCACTACTTATAAGATGAAAGTGATCTTGGTCTTGATCCTGAGAAGAACTTCTTCTAAGTACTACTTGATCCGGATAAGAAGGTAGTACTTGATCCTGAGAACAAGAACTTCTTCTGAGTAGGTTCATCCCTAGGTCCCTCCCCATCGGCTGTCCCTCACCTTCATCCCTAGTACAGAAGCGGTGTTGGGGATACGCAGGCTTTGTCATGTCCTGATTGTGAGTCAGATCCTGGGCTGATAGGGAGCCATGTGTGTATCGATGTCGATCCTGAAGAGGACTCGTCTTAGCAACATACTTCTCTAATTTGAGCCACTGAAGATGGTCAGCAAAACTTCTGCAAGCGGAGGTGGTGGGACGATTAGTTTTATCAAGCGAGACGATCTAGATGAAGAAGCGGCGAAGAAGACCGAGAAGGTGAATAAATTGCAGCCGTCCGCCTTTGGTCAGGAGGATGATAGTAATGGAAAGACCTTCTTCCTTATGGGTAGCGTCAACCCATCCCTCACACCATCTCTTGGCCGATTTCGACTTCAAAAGTGCTAAAAGACGTTCCAAAAGATGGGTTGTCGGTGCCTCTAACTTCCTGACGGGTCGCTGGCATTCGAACAAGAACCCGCGTGCACCCACTCGCCTTAATATGGATAAGACCTTCGCAGCATTCTACGCCGCCCAAAATATCAAGAGTGAGGCGGACTTCTTCGGCTTGCACCGAACACCTACAACCTTCTCGTTGGCACAATTTGTAAACAAGCGCAGTTTTGCGACCTCCCCCAGTTCTTTTGTGCACAACAGTACAATAGTGAGTCAGAATCTGCAAGAAGTAGGGATATCAGCTTCAACAGCGACCGGAACTAGGCAAAGTAGACAACAAGAACTACTGTGGTCTTCTTCTTGCATCTCACCACCTCTCCGCATTGTGTGCGATCGCTTGGAGACCAAAACGGATGCACCAGAGGTGTTGCGCGACTTGTTCGACCGCGTGCCGTACGAAAATCTGATGCAGGACACGGTCTACAGCGCCTTCACGCGCGGCCACTGTCGCGACTCCGAACGCCTCGGTGCAATCCTCGCCGCCGGCAGCGTTCCTGTCATCTTCGCGAATCGGATCACCTTTTAAGGAGGCGGTGGACCAAAATGGTTTTGATAAGTACTCAGAGATACTACAGAAGATTGATAATTACTTAGTTGCAGTTCCCTCAGCAGCTTCCTTCCAGTTCTTAGGAGGTTCAGTTTGAGAGGATGGCTTCCACAGTAATTGTATTGATTTATCGTCATGCCACCATGTACGCGAAGCTGCTTGACTGGGATGCCTGTGATTAGACCTTGCATATATTTATCTTGAAAAGCATCTTTGACACGTTATATTATGTCATTAAGGGAATAAAATGAGGGAAAGTTAACTGCTACTACATAGACACACTTTTTATGTGCTAAAAAGATCACTATTCCTACTCCGCTAGCCCTGTTGCCAACTTTCCAGATGGCCGTAGCTCCCTTCCAGTTCTTAGGAGGTTCAGTTTGAGAGCATGGCTTCCACAGATTAGACTTGTCTCTAAGTCTAGCCCTACGCGCAGCTGATAGATTGGGAGCGACTCGTAGTACGGGTCGACGAGAGTGCGCTAGACGGAACGGCACGTGGCGCTGAAGCTGTGATCTCGAAGATTCGGGCATCGTGGCAGCGTGACGGAGGGGAGTGGCCGCCTCGCGACCGCCTCGTCCGCGTGTCCCCTGCGAGCTCGTCTTCTGAGGAGAAGAAAGATCATCATCAGGAGAATAAGTCCTCGAAGAGCTCGGAGGAGAAGAAGAATCCTGAAGATGATGGTGTTGCGGAACTTCGCGCGGAATACGTGTTGCCCCCAGCGATGCTGCGAAAGCGCGCAGAAATCAAGCGAGTCTACAACAAATACTTTCTTGATGAAGGCGAGAAGTGCATCACAAAAAAGATTGATTTAAGGCAGCATTCAATTTCATCGGGGATACACTCATTGGGTAAAGTACTACTGCTACTAGGGCTACTTCCACGACAATCATTTCTTTGAGGATGGGTGACGCTTCTAGCAAACCTGCTTCCTCTTAGAAGACGATGAACATAGAACACCACTAGTACCATGTGGATTTCATCTCTAAGAGACTCGATGTTGAGGGCGCTCCGACGCACGATTGACAACGTTATCGCGTCGCCGCCAGAAATTTCCCGCATGATACCAGAGATCGAAGCTGAGGCTTCCAAAGATGCCACAAACAACAAGTGGTTTTACTTCCTATGAGTTTTTCAAAAATTTGTATTGTGGATTACATTTACTTACAAAAGTGGTATTTCTGTTGTACTACTTTTGTCATAGTACTAGTAACACTCAAAGTGTGCTGTCAGCTTGTTTTTTTTGTTGTTGCGAAAATACGTGAAGAATTGAATCAACATGTAGTCAATTCAATTTCGTGACAAATATAGTGAGCACATAAGTCCAGGGCAGAATCCTGTATTGCTTCGTGAGTCGTAGTATTAAACCTGAACAGCAATCATGTCGTCTATAAAACGTAAATGAAACAACTGTATAGACTTCTGTAGCTTTCTCGTAACGTACGCACACCAATCAAGAAATGCGACAAATGATCAATTTGCTATTGTATTAGGTTTTGAGACGATACCTCGTGCTAGGTAAATGAATGAATGAATGAGATCGACCTGAGTTTGCTATTGCCATGTACTTCCAGCATTTTCGTCTCTTGCGAGCGACACAACCAAGTGAACGTTTGAGCAACTGAAGAGTTTTCTAAGTTGCTAGTCTCACCTTATCGTCTATCCTACTCGTAATGATAATAGCATCAACTCATACCGAAAAGACTTCACGCTGTGGTTTATACTGATGTGATATTTATTCACAGAAAACAACGATGACCCAAGCAGGTTCGGTGTAGCTAGCGCATGTCATCAAGGTATCTCTACTACCGTCGCGACTCGGCTTAAGATCTTTTTTTTACTGGGTAGGCTCTCTGACAAAGATCTGGTGGTGGAAGATCATTCACAGTGGACAACAAGACTGCCTATACGCTCACCCTGTCATAAGTGAGCCTCCTCCTATCCTATCCTAGACTGCTGCTTATGAGAAGATCTTGATTTTCAAGAAAGCCGCATGAAGGCATTTAAGAGACCCACCTGGATCTTTTTCAAGGTCGCATGACAGCTCTTCAAAGATAATCTGGATTCAATGACTACTTCGTGCCACTCGTCCATTTAAGCAGAGCGGGTCGATACATTCCTGGGGGGTCATCTTGGGTTTCACTAGACACTATGCTTAATATGCTTCACTATGCTTAAATGCTTTTGTTTTGTTGACGAGGTCACACCGCATAAGTGCTCAAAAAACTTAGAGAAAAGATGAATCCCTTTGATTTTTTCGAGGAGGAAGGAGCCTTAGAGACAGGCGTTTTTGAATTCGACGAGGTTAATCATGAAGATACTCCACTGATAGCTTTTTCTAGTTCCTCACGCTCACAAGTAGTCAGACCAGTAAAAAGAAAATGCGACACTTGTTTCCGCAAACTCTGCCTGTGCAGACATGCTGCTGGAGGAACGGAGACCACTGACGCTACTGCCCGCTCACCCTCGCAGAGAGCTTCATGTTCACAACCAAGGACTCTTCAAGCGCAAGAATTCGAATTCTGCTCCTCCACTCACATCAAAAAGAGCAGACTCCGGAATTGTCGACTCTTCGTGTTGCAGCATGCCAAGGAGGGCAAGAAGCACGCCATCAGCAGTATCCCGGTGCTCGAAGCTGTAGTAGAGGATGTCAAGGTTTTGCGAACTGTACCACCGAAGGCGGAGGCGGGACCGGGAGCAGAAGGAAACTGGGTAGTAGCAGATCGAGTAACAAATGGACGACACATTGAAGATGGTCACGACGCCCATGACGGTATTAGAGGCAGTGATGCCGAGAGAGATGGAGCTGAGGACTATACGGCCACGTCCAGAAAGACGTCAACGTGGCTCCCGCCTCTTTGGGAAGAGATGCTGTCCGACTCGCACAAAACTTTGCTTTTGTGGCCTGGCAAGGATTCCGTTGCTTTGGACGGTAGCTTGGCAAACAGAATGTTGGGAGCACTCCAGGGGCGCTCAAGTATTAGGACAACTGTGAGAGATGAAGATACAAAAGGCTCGTCGCCGTGTGGAGGAATAATAGACGATGAAGATGCTTCGAGCTCCGCTGCTGCTACAGAGACTGCACATCCGCCAACAAAAATCCAAGACGAGGATGATGAAGCTCAGAATATTAATTTGTTGGCACTAGACGGCACATGGGGGCAAGCACGACAGTTATTCCGAGCATTGGAGAGGGAATATCCTAGACCGCTGTCAAAATTGAAACGGATCCACCTAAACACCGCAAAAAGGCAAAGCCTTTACGAGGGGGTCCGAAAAGAGCCTAAGGAGGGTTTTCTTTCTACCTTGGAAGCGTTGGCTTTGTGCATTGAGGTTTTAGAAAATGGCTCAACTTCTAGCAGAGAACGGCTCTCAACAGAAAAGGGACCGGTAGATCATCAGAGCAGCAACAACACAGCAGATATGGGAACGGTCAGCAGCAACAAGATCAACGTCTGCGAGCGACTTTTCACGGCATTTGGTAGCGTCATTGCCGAGATGAAGGGGTATGCAGCTGCTTCTCCATCGGGGTCTGGAACGCCACGTCTAGAACAACCTCCTATCGCTGGTGCGAATAAAGGCGTACGACAGGAGCTGACGCCCTCCACTGTGGATTCGTCTCCTGACTTTGTCGAGCGGAATATTACAAAAGAAAAGAATCGTATTAGACGCTGCGCTCCCCGTGGTCTCAACCACGACCTGGCTGCTACCGTCGACCGCTTAGTGCAAAAGGCGCGTAGCAATCGCGACACCGCGAGTGAGAGTAACCAGCATAAGCAGTATTTTGTACTCGTTAGAGACGTTCGAGACCCACTGACCAACCACGTAGACTACATCCCGTTGAGTCCAGACGTCCTGGCCACTCTGCATCCTATCGTTGCTCCGATCTGCGACGCTGTGAGATTGAAGCTGGCTGGAGAGAGAGCCTCACCAGCAACGCACGACCACAGCCCACAGGACGATCCTCACATCCACATTCATGGTTTTGAAAGCAGTGTTAAGTATGGCAGTTATCGGGATTGTAAGATGTATGCCGAGTGCCTGAACTTGCACAGGAAGAAAGGGCAACGGATTACAGTTCAGCCTCTGAATCGCGTACAGCATCACCTGACAGGAGACCTGAAGCTTAATGCAGGCCACCTGACAGGAGTTTCTCTCTCTCAGATGGAAACAAAGTTGTAGACTTATATTCTTTTCCTCTTCATCCTTCCCTTCTAGCTCTACACAGTACTAAGTATCATGACATTTTACGACGACCAGAAAGATTCATGCGTCCTCGGGCACATCTTTGGATAAAGGTGAGTGTTCAATCAAGCCGGCGGGAGAAAAACTGGAAGCCAACCCATGGGCCATGAAGAAAAGACTTGAAACTCGACTAAAAGCGCAAACCCACACAACGCGGTCCAGGAGACGTAGAGTGATCTATAGTCTAGTGTCTCATCGGCACAAGAAAGTCTGACGCGAGAGCTTCTTGAATCTTGTCTACTGGGCGAGTCTGTCAAGCAAACCGGTTGTGAAGAAAAGATATGTGCACAGCCACATGATAAAGGGCAGAAAAAAGGTGCAAAACTGTCACCCTTGCTAGTTTCGGTCCTCCCCTTTTCCCCCGCACTTTGAGAATCAAAATCCCTGAATGAGTTCTTTTGAGTTTATTTTGCTGCCTGGTGCTGTTTCGTCCCTGCAGACAGAGGTAACTTTCTTTTCCTACCCAGCACTAGCGCTCTTGCTCTTTTCACTACAAGCAATACATCGAAGAAACAGAATAACGGATTTAATTAACCCTCTATCTACCCTCTATCTATTTTTTGGTTGCAACTACAAGAACTGCACATACAAGTAAAACAAACTGATTATAGCTTATCTAACTGCGAGATACTAAGTGAAGTTATTCCATTTCCTACAATCTATTTCCAAAACAATTCTTATTTTGTGGGATGTAGATCAAGATCGCGATCGATCCAGAGGATGGCGCGCGAGTACTCGTTGCAGCTGCGCGTGACCAGCTTCTCCGAGTCCAAGGACGTAACTTGCGTCAGCTTTAGTGGGCTCTTCGAGGGAGAGGCCGCGTGCACCGAAGATGGCCTCTGGTGTTTTGCAGGTATGTTATATGTTGAGAATTAACCTGTAGAAGTTCTTCTCTTGCCGATTTGATTATTTCCGAAACCTGTAGTTCTCTTGCCGATTTGATGATGATGATAGTAATCCACTCGGATTAATAGAGGACCTGCTGTTGCCCATTTTCATTTATTATAGCCCCCTGATTCGTTTTGTGATTGTGTTTTAGAGTGTTTCTTCTACACTCTGCTCAGTCTTTAGCTTGTGAGTGTTCGTAGACAGCGTCCTGCGAAGACGCTCTTCGGAAAGCACGGCAAACAGCACTCACATTGTACTTCTATCAGTCCCAGCCGAGAAAGAAGAAGGCGAGGAGGAGCCTGCAGAGGGAGAAGAGACGCTTCCCAAACCGCGTTTGTATACAGCAGAAAGTCTCAGAATTGGAATCCCCTCAGAATCTGCGCTTTTAGACAAGGTTTCGGGCGAGACGCTTCGCGTCACCGCTTACGTGAACGGCATTCCGAAAGGGCATTGCGAGTTCAACGATGTGGATCAACTTTATGGACGGGAGAATTGTGTTAACTTGGCCTGAACTTGTCCTAACTTGACAGATTCCTACTCTCCTCAACTACGGGTGGATCAACTTTATGGACAGGGGGCTTCACAGATTCCTACGAGGTGGATCAACTTTATGGACAAGTAGGAAGGGGTAATAGTGAGAATCCTAGTGTGCAGACAGGAAAAACCCTTCCTACCTGTTCTAACGCAAAAATCTGTACCCGGATGATGGTCATACGTACATCGATTGATGACTCGGTATGACACCTCTACTCCTTGTTCTTCATTTTTTGCTAGAGTCTGCAAAGGGCGTGGTGGACTCGGCAGAAAAAGTTACGTGGCGAAGAGACGATTCGGACGCTGCCTCGCCTTTTTCCAGTGGGAGGCGGACACCTAAGAAGGCAGTGCCTGACTCGATCCTGAGTATCCAAGTAACCGCACTGCAGCAGGAAGCAGCACCTCCAGCGGCAGAAGGAGAAGAGGACGTTGAGCTTGTGCCACCAGTGGAGTCGGTCTACTCGCCTCCGGTTGTTAAGGTGGCATACAATTAAATTCACCTTCTCCAACAGCACGGAGTATTATTTCTCTCAGGTATCATGTCCTGCTTGGATGTTACTTTGAGGCTATGACCCACGACCGAGTATGGGTGTCAGTTTCCTTATTGGATCATTGTTTTGAGGCTATGCATGACCCTAACCTGCAACAGGTGAATTATTCATATTCTTGTTGTGACCTCCTCATTCTTGCTTTAACGTTGAGGATTTCGGAGACTGGTGCAAGTTGGCTGTCACTGTGGATGGCCTGTACAATCTGCCGGGATCGCTTTTGCCGGCTCCACCAGCAGAGGGGGAGGAGCCTCCGCCAACCGGCTTCGTAGATTCCCATCCACTACGCTACCAACTTCGGATCTTGGATGTTCCGTTTGATATGGCTAACAGGTTTGCTCCCATTTTGTTGTTGATGAAAGAGTGGTGGATTGACGAGTACCTTTATACACTATATATGCTGGAGAGGATATAGATCACAATAGACGGACAGCGTCTTCTTGTGGTGGGGCGGCTGCGAAGTCTGCTGCTTCTCAGAAAAAACGAAGAGCATCTTGAAGTCGTCTGTTCTGGTCGTTGTGACACCATTCTATCTTATTCCTCGTACTCCGCTAATCAGCATGACGGGCGAGTGTATCGTCCCGAGGGTGCAGTAGTAGCAGCAGAGGGTGCGCAGGATGCTGCAGAGGGCGGTGAAGGAGAGGAGCTCTCGGTATTTTTCAAGCACACGTACTTTATGACGCTGCAAAATGATGAGACGCTCTTCTACTAGTCTACCGTTCGTCGAACCGACAACGTTGTAATAAGCATTTTGAGCGGTGGTGTGATGTTTCGTTCCCGTTCGCAGACAAAACTTAATATTATGGATACTCAAGGTCTCGCGTTCCGAAATGATTGCTGCGTTACAAAAAGTGGGCTACAGATCGGCAGAAGCTGACAGCGAAGCTTTGTGGGCACTGGTGAGTGCAGACAACGACTCCGGTAAAATAACTAGTGCTGAGTGGGCTGCACTAGAAAGTGTGGAGGAAGGTGCGAAATTACCCGAATTGTGTAGCGCAATCTTGGAAAAATTTGACGACTTAGAGGCCTGCTACGCAGACTGGACAAGCGAAGAGGTATTGCGTGGAAGAGAATTTACATTTGGGTTAATAGAATCATGATGTTTGTGTTTCACGCCATGGTATCCATCATTTTGTGGCTTCAGTCGATGAGAGTTGGAACCAAATATCATCTAGTATTTGATGGTTTTATAAAATGGTCCCCTCGATGATTCATTTTCATCCCAATTATGATTAAATTCATGAATGTGATTTACTTCCACCATCAGTCCCTGACCCCTGACGTATTCGCTGCGAAAGCAGCAGACTGCGGCTACGCTGGGGATTCGGCAAAGGCCTTCTCTGCTCTCACCAAGGAAACAGAGCTGCCTTTGGAACAATTCCAGACTCTGTTTTTGTACTACCTCGTAGCCTGCACAGGACCTGCTGTTAGTACCCTTCAAATTACGGCTCGCGAGTACAGTTCTTTTCCAACGCTTGAATTCTCTTCTGTCTCGTTTATATCGTATTTAAGATCATTGAATGTTTCATTTGAAATATGTCTCTTCCCGGAAGAGAGATGAATTGTTTGAGCTCTAATCAATGATGGATTGGCAAGAATTTCGAGTCATTTACGAAGTTCCTGTACACACTCGATCCCTCTGGATGTATCTCATCCGAATCGGCATGGACAAAGGCACTGGCCGCACTAGGCTTTGCGGATACGGCTATGGCGTCGAAAGTATGGAAGCTTATCGACGTCACGAAGAGTGGTACTTCGTGGTCAGTGAATTTTGTTACTCTGTATCTTGTTTCACCCTGAATATCTTGGTGGTCATCAACGCCATCATATTCAGGGATTGGATTATTAGATTGATCGCTTACGCCTGTATTTTTACAAACCGATGTAGCAAGCTAACCTAACCTGAATGAACATGACGATGCCATCTGATGGTATCATGTAACACCTTCAAGATGAATTCCCTTAGGTACGGTAGGACAGCAACAAGTGGATTTCCTAGAGCGCATCGATGGGGAGAAATTTGCGGAGGGTCTAGCAGAATTCAAGGAATCAATACAGGCGTCCACGGTGATGAAGATTTGGGAAAAGCCAGTGACCTTTTCAGTCTTCCGACATACCTATCGAGGCGTTTTCAACAAGGTACAGGATCATCGCTTTTGCACCCTGCTGCGTCCCATTTCTTAGAAGTGATCCTAACCGGTGCCTTTAAGGCTCGGTGTCGTACCACCCACGCTTTACTACAGATGGAACCGATGCTTTTGTGGGCGTTGCTAGGAGGCGGTGAGAGCATAACCAAAGAGCGTTTTCAAGTACTGGAGACCTTTACAAGTGGTGAATGCGAGAGTCCGATTAGTCGAGTGCAGAAATTTTTGCAGGACAATTAAGGCTACTGGTACTGCTGTGAGGACGGCCCTCCGGCCTCTTTTTCTACTTGAAAAAGAAAGCTACCAAGGACCATGCGCTGAAGGAAGATGCGAACGGGTATCATGGCCTTTGACACCTTCCTTCGACGCCTTGCTTAGCTCTAAGCCACGGGTCTCATGGCCTTTAACACCTTGTTTGCACCGCTTCCTGTCGTATCCACCGCAGATATGGAGCGCGCGGCCGAGACCAAGGAGTTCATTTCTTGGGCCACTGACGCCCAGGTAGCAGCGGCGTTGGAAGATGGACGAGGAGGCGCAGAAGCTAGTAGTCGGCCACAGAGCGGCGGAAGTAGTCCGAGTGGCCGGCCATCGTCACCTCCAGATGGAAGTGTGCCAGAAGCAGATACAAAGCCAAAATTACCACTCTTGTTAAGGCAATCAAGAGAGCATCCCACTGCAGCATGGCCCAAATAAGCAAGAGAGCATCTACTTGAACAATCGAGAAAGCCAATTGAACACGGGCTCTTTATTTCCAAACGGGAGAAGAAGTTTCCAAGGATAAATATTATGATTCCCAAGGGAGATGCATCAACGCGATATCTCTAACTTTGTCACGAACTGTGAGCTGTTACAAGGGTCGGCAATGGATGCAGCAATTTTATAACGCTGTGGGGGACGCTACACGAGGCAAAAACACTGCCAGCTCTTCATCCTCATCATCGTCATCAAAAAGATGGATCCACTTTTTTCCTCGAGTAGGTGGTGATGCGCTGCCTTTATCAGCGGACGTGGACACCAGCAGTGACCCTGCGAACGCAAAAGTCGCAAGATGGCATCATGGTAAGAAAAGATGAATGATAGATACGTAGTTATTAGTTCTTGACGCCAGCAGCGACCCTGCGAACCATGCAACATGGTCATCCACAAAATAGTCTTCAACAATCAAACACAACAGCCGAAGCTTGCCTGGACTTGACGTCGTTTGCAGAAAGTGGCGTTTTTAGTGGCACACTGTTTCTTTCACGAATTGCCTCATGTCCTGCTGAATGTCCGGCACCTGACGGGGTAAGTCCCGTCTGTTTCGAGAAGAGAGGAACTTTTCTCAAATTTTCCCTCTCCTTCTCAAGGTTACAAACTCTCTGTTATGGTTACAATACTCAAGAAGGTGACAATTATTCTCCTTATCAAGGTCACAATTTTCAAGGATGCAGGGAGTTTCTTTCTGGTAGGAAGATGGAGTGCTGCAGCTTCTAGTTGATTTTGATTCTCTTTTGGGATCTAATCAGTGGCCTCTTCATTACTGGCTAATCGACTGTTTTGGAACCAGTGACGCATTCTCATCCATGTGCATTCTAATCCTATCCCCGGCCGCTCAGTGTGGCGAGTAGCATAGAAGACGCCTTGTTTGGCGTAGATCCACATCCGAAGGCGCCACAAAAACGACCCGAGGAAGACTTTGATGAAGCGGTCGTGAAAGCGCTGGCATACTTAGGCAGGGAGTATGCAGATTTTGCGCACGAACTAGGACTGGAGACGCATGGTGACGAGAAGGTCCTCGGTCCCCTCGGATGGCGAGACTTGCTGGATCGCATTGAGTTATGGTGGTCAGGAGTACAACTACAGCTAAGAATAATTTGTCTCCGCCTCAGTACTAGATGAAATATACTCCCACACGACCTTATGGTGTTTCAAAAAATTGTGACTCACACGACACGACCCGCTGCTATGTAACGCTATAGTCATTCATCACTCGGCGATCCAGAGCGAGAGAGGAAGCTGATGAACAGTTTGAGGCCTGCTTTGCAGAAACTAGTCCGATCACGCGTAGTAACCTACGGTCGTGAGAGGTTACCTTGCGCAGGCTTGTACGGTGACGAGCGGGACGCAAAATACACCGATATGTCGAGGGAACTGTGCGCCTTGATATTCAGGACTTTGAATTTATGAAGCGAGCACTATTGAACAAATATGATAAGCGGGGCTTATTTATATTTTTCGATTTCACTTTCTTTTGTGCATTTGAGATCATGTGCATGGAAGACGTGTGTTTGTCTGTGACCTGCTAGCGTCGAGGTGTCAACCACATCGATGAGACATCGACCTAACTGCTGCCAGGTCTCTCTCTCTCTAAGCCAAAGCGAAGCGCAGAAGTATGCGTGGCGACGAGATAGCAAATTGTGGAAGAACCCCCCGAACCCTTATGAAGCCGAACACTTCTGGGAGCCCGATGAGCTGAAAAAGCAGTTGGACTTGAAGGATGAGCAATTTCAACGGCTCGCCTTAGAAGCTGAGATGTATGGTGATGTTGCAAGAGCAGGCAAATTGTGGAGACAAAGACTCGCGTTGGAGAAGAACTTATGTTGGCACGGAGATGAATTAGTTGTGGTTAATTAATCTTAATTTTTTCTTGCAGTGTTGTGGTTAATTAATCTTAATTTTTTCTTGCAGTGGGGAAAGTGCTGGTAGAGGTGTAGTGTTGAGTGCGAAAAATTTTCAGTTTTGGCGACGTTGTTGTTCCTTCGTAGTCGGTTATACTTGGTTTGTTGTTGCTTATGAACAAGCCACGGTTTTTGGTTCCTCACTAAGGCGGCGTCCTTTGTAGCTTTTTTAACTTGATAGATTACATTCATAATCTTGTCTACCTGAGAAGATAATCACGCAAAACACCCACCAAACCGCTCCTTCCTCTAACACATCTCGTGAATTTCGAGGCTTGGTTCCACTACTCGCGGTTCTTGTTGCGCGGTGAAAAGCTCCAGATGGAAGCGGAGAAAGCACTGATGTATACGATAAGCATCAAGCGATCTCTCGATGCCGCTACAACAGACAGTATTAGTTTTACATATTGAGATTTGGTTAGGTGGTTACATGGGGTGCCCTACTCGTTTGACTTTGATGTTTATAGGTCTAGTTTATACATAGTAGTTGTTAATCACCTGAGGTAGTTTGCCCTAGTACCTGCTTGGAGATTTATTTCATTGACAGTGTCCGGGGTGTTGACGTTGGATTTCAACGTACTACTAGCTATTTGACAGGTTTACTGCTGATGTCGTTGCTGTTCCTGAACCGACAAGACGGATCTTCGGAGAGCCAAGAGGGCGCTCTCTTTTTCGCCAGCGAGTGCGCCAAACGCAGCCCGACTGGCTTCTCCAGTCAGTTTTTGCTGTTCCTTGTGCACGCCTTTGAGCACGCAAGAGGAGGTGATTTCGAGGATCGCGTGAGCGCGCTCAAGTACCTCCACCTCGCGCGTGCCCCTAGGACCTTCTTTCGCGGAGCGCTGCCAGACGGCGAGACGAGCTTTCTGGCACTGCAGAAGGACGAGAAGGTTAGGGCAGGGGAAGTCTTTCCGGAAGACGCGCCTGCGCCAGAGGAACGAACAGCATCTCACGAGGATAGTTCCGAGTCTGCGGCCGTAGACAAGTGGACAGAAGAATTTCCGGCATTCGTGGCGTATGACAAGGTACAAATCCACATCACTTGTTTGTGAGATAAAAAGATTGTGTCATGATCATTCTTGGAAAACAACTTGTAATTAGTGGTGATTCTACTTTCTAGGTGCATGCTCTGCCGGACGGCGCAGATTCACGAACAGTGGACATAGTGGACAAGATACTGTATTTGGGAGTCGCTTCCGTCGCGAAATTCATCCTCTTAGACCAAGAGTATGGGCTCCTGTCCGAAAAAACCAGGGACAGTGAGAAAGTGCGTTTACAGCTAGCGAAATGCTACATGCTGGAGGACGACTGGCCAGCTGCTTGCAACGTGCTGCAGCAACTGCTGTCCGAAGTCACGGAACAAAACTGCGAAGCCTGGGCTATGCTTGGTACTACGCTCAAGATGTGACTGCTGACTATGCTCAAGATGTGAATGCTTGGTGCTACGCTCAAGAAGATGATTTTTAGATTGCGATCAAGCTGCCTATCGTGATTTTTAGATCTTGAGATAGAGATGCACCAGGACGATTCAGAGCAAGTTATAAGATCGTCCTGGTGCATCTTCATCTCAAGATGGTGTATTCCTTGCTCCTGGGGTGTTCGGAAAAACGAGCCAACTTAAAACAATTTGAAAGGTGAATGCGAGTATCGACAGGGCGCGATGTCAAGAGCGCAAGATGCGTTGGAGAAGGCGCTTTCTTTTCTGCCAACCGATTCTCCACAGCCAACGGACGATCCAGTCTTAGCTCTCAGGCTTGGCGCTATATATCTGCAGGCAGGGAAGCTAGACGAAGCAGCCGAATTCGTCCTAAAAAGTCTAGAAACGTTAGTGACAAGCGAAGCATGGAAGATATTAGGGGTAACGAGTGTTGTTATTCTCACTCTACTTTCATAAACAAATATTCTTACGGCTTCTTTCCCGTCGACACTTTCATCTTAACAAAAGACTCCTGTTGGGAGTGTAGTTCGATTCATTCATAGGAGTGGCCAGATTTAGTACTTACTACGTGGTAGGTAAGATAAGATTTTTGACTCTCTAAGGTTCACAAGTTTACTACGTGGTAGGTAGTGGTCCAGATTATCACTTACTTTGACAGATCTACTACGTGGTAGGTAGTAGTCCAGACTATCACTTACCCCGACAGATCTGCTACTCACACAGATCTGCTACTCACGGAAAGGAGCAAATGAGAAAAGTCTGGTAGCCTTGCGGGAGGCGAACTTGCTAGATCCATCACGACCAGAAATATGGGCGTGGCTTGGAGTAGTGAGTATAAAGACGGGCAAAGTCGCTCTGGCGAAGCAGGCGTGCAACTTCGCGGCGTTGCCTGACTCAGTAACAGCGGACTGCCTCGATGTGGATACCGCAATTCGACTGATCGAGGCATGCCTCGAGTCAAGCAAGTTATGGCTGTTGAGGCTACTACTGTGCATTTGGTATTTCTTCGCAGCTCAACACAGATTTGCTTGGTCTGATTTGACTGAAGAGTCCTCAAATACAAATAACCTTTCCATGCACGTTCCCAAACCCACCCTCCTTCACGCCCTACGGCAGTGCAGAACAAGTTTGCCGTAGGAAGTTCCGACACTGACCCGAAAGAGTACTGCGAGGAAGCTAGCTTCCTGTGCAGGAAAGTGTTAGAGAGGAGCATGCCTGCCATCGAGGATTCGGAAGAACTTTTATGCTCATGCGATAGTATTTAATACACAGATCGTTCTTGTTCAGAAGCTTGTCGACTGCACCGCGAAGATTGAGGTTGACTTCGACAACGGTACTTGAACGCATCAGCATCACCATTAGACTTCATCTAAGATCGAAAGTTCTTTCTTTAGATGCCAAGAGTGTGATGTATTTACTCGAGGCGCTCTCTTCTATGATTGCCCCCTCTAACCTGACAAGCTTCACAGCAGGGTTCGGTATCAAACGTGAACAACAGCGTAGAGGCCGCGGAGCAGATACTGCCTAGGCAAGAGGGGATGTTGCACTTCTTGCTCGGTAGGACGTACGAGCAAAAAGAAGAGTGGATGGGTAGTTTCTTTGAACTGCGAATGGCTATCCCGTTCTTCGCGGATGACGAAGCCATGCTTCAGGAAATCGAGAAACGAGGAAGGAAGGTTAAGGCTCAACAAGGTGTTCCTTTAGCGAGAAATTTAGAAGACTTGAGTTGTGCGGAGATTGCCTAACACACTGAGCCTGGTACTCTTTTTAGTTAGGCTATCGCGTGATAGTTCGGCATGGAATATTGCACTTTGGAAAGAATCTCTAAGAATATCGCAGCAAACATCCGGGACACGCATAAGGTGATTAACGTGCTTTTGGAGGACATTGATGTAGTGAAGGAGCGACGCGAGAACCCTGAGCCACCACAAGAGATGGGCGTCGCTTAGATTGAGGCCGGAGGAAAGAATTCTCGGGACAGCCCAGTACAGTGATGTGCAGACGGAGAAGAAAGATCTCAATTCCGATAGACTGAACCTGAACGCAAGACCTTTTCAAATATCGAAGGGAACTGTGAACGCAAGCATGGAATAATCAATCAGATATGACACGCAACTCGTCCTAGTGGTTTTTAGATAATCGGACTGAGTGACAAGTTTGGAACGATAAGTTTTCTTCACGCAATGTTTGCGCAGTCGGTGATTAGAATATGGCTCCCGTGGTAGGAGCGGAGCACCATATGGTGTTCGAGGCGCGCAGCGCCAGTTTGAATTCTCTCATGGCGATTTTTAGAAATCTCATTGCAGACTTGTTGGTGTAAAGTTATATTCACTGGAATTTGGACGCACAGTATAGTAACTAAGAAGGATCTTACTCCAGTGTAAGTTTCCATATTTTTGGTATTAGCTTTTTTCCCGGTACAGTCCAATCTACGCTCAATATTTCGGAGCTTACAAACGAGGAAGCATGGTGTTTTAGGCTTTAGATTACGACCTGAAGCAACAAATTGGAGATTCTTACTAAAATCTAAAGACAAGACCACATACACAGTAACTGTCATAGAAAATAGAACACACAAGCTGCCGATTCCAACTTAATCCGTTTGAGAATGAGACCGTAAGCCAAACTGTGACCAATCATCCGTCATTTAGTCTCCAAAAAGACAGCAACTCCATGAGCTCCCCTGAAACCAGAGCTTGTCATGAAAATGCACAGATAAGAGAAACGGGAATGCAAAACGATCATCCTTCTAAGTGTGAGATCTTTTCAGCTTGTAGTACTGAAGCTCATAGCAGTACGAAAGATCCCAAGAGTGGCCCAAAGCCGCTCAGCGCATCTCACAGGACGGGCATTCCAAGTGAAAGGGGGTTGTTCTCAGTCCACCAATCTGAATAAATATTTTTCCCCAGGGGGTATCTCTGATCCGCGCGGTACCAGATCATCTCTCTCAACGGATCGTGAGACCTAAAACTAGCCGGCCCCCCTCTGAAGAGCTAGTGGACTCAACGGAGTGCCGATCCTGCACCTCAAAAGGAGGTGGTATCTCTGAAAACATGGCAAGAGATCAAACTGCGCATGTGAGGTTCGATTTAGAATTCAATTCCCCATTAAGAAAGTTGAGTAGATCAAAGATCCTTGGAGTGTCCACGTGGACTTGCAGATAGATCGTTTGGGGAACTGAGGCGGCCGAAGAACAAGATCCCACACTACGATCTCACGTACGATGTGATCTTGTCTTGGTTTGCTGAATATCATGACGTGTCTGCAACACGACTATACGGCATTGATATCCACCATCTCGTTCCACTGTTTTGACTCCTGACTCACTGCTCTGGCTACTCTAAATCACATGATGTGTTCTTGAAAATTTTCTCTCCTTTTCTATTCTTTCAGGGACACTAAAAGACTCTTCGGAGCATTTTTCTAAAAATCTTTTTTCTTCTACAAAGAAAAGATGGCCGAGATCACGTACCGTGGCGCCCTTCAGGGTCATGCCGGATGGGTCACCTCCATCGCTACCACCTACGAGCAATCGAACTTGGTCGTCTCCGGTTCCCGTGACAAGACCGCTGTTGTGTGGGAGCTCACCCCGAATGACGCCAACTCTCCGGGTAAACAATTAAGGGAAACTTTTAGATTTAGAGATCGTGTTATATAGCGAAGCAGATTTGTCGTTCATAACGAAATGCCCATGCTATGATAGCCTGACTTTTGAACATTCAATCTTCGCCCTTTAGATGGCCTCATCACAAAGTCCAGATACCTCAACGTCCTATCACGAAGCGTTCAATTTTCTTTTCATCTCAAGCAAACTTACCATCGCCTATCAAATCAGGTTACGCTCGTCGCTGCCTCCACGGTCACAACCAGGCTGTGTGCGATACCGTTATCTCCAGTGATGGTCAGTTCGCCCTTACCGGATCCATGGACAGCACCATGCGTTTGTGGGACTTGAACACCGGACAATCCGTCCGCAAGTTCAAGGGACACACCAAGGTATACTATGAAATATAAGGTGTTGTTTACTTACGTCGTGTGCTCTGTGGTAGGTTTTTTCGTTTTTGGTGATGGCAACTTTCGTTGCAGTAGAGAATCTAGGGTGAATTGCACCTGAACATCCAGAAAGACCATATCCAAACAAGAATCCCATATCGTCAAAGTGTCCTCACGAGCAACTCTTAAATCCTCTCTTTCACAACTTCACCACAGGACGTCAACTCCGTCGCTTTCAGCGCTGACAACCGTCAGATTGTCTCCGGATCTCGCGATAAGAGCATCAAGTTGTGGAACACCCTTGCCGAGTGCAAGTACACCATCACCGAAGACAACCACACCGATTGGGTCTCCTGCGTGCGATTCAGCCCGTCCGCCAAGAACCCGCTCATCGTCTCATGCGGTTGGGACAAGCTCATCAAGGTCTGGAACCTGAACAACTGCAAGCTGAAGACCAACTTGGCTGGTCACACCGGTACTGAATAATGATAGAATATGCTTGCGTGTGGATATGCTTATTTGTCGAATCTTGAGCTTGAGAAATCAACTGTGTCGAGAAGAAATCTTGAGGTTCTGACTTGTAGGACACTACTAGCTCCTTCCTTCATCTTGTTCTTCTGACCCTTCATGTCTAGGAGCAACGTAGATATCTTTTCACCCTGAGTACACAAATCTCAAACTTCAAATCCTCGTATATCTCTCAACCACAGGTGTCCTGTACACCATCACCATCTCTCCGGATGGTTCCCTGTGCGGTTCCGGTGGCAAGGACGGTACCGCTATGTTGTGGGATGTCAACGACGGAAAGCACCTGTACAGCTTGGATGCCAACAGCACCATCAACGCTATGTGCTTCTCCCCGAAGAACTACTGGCTGTGCGCGGCCACGGACACCTCCATCAAGATCTGGGACTTGGAGAACAAGAGCATCCTCGACGAGCTCACCACCAAGACCATCCCGAAGAGCGGCATCCCGTGGTGCGTGTCCCTCCAGTGGTCCGCCGACGGCAACACCCTCTTCGCCGGTTCCACCGACGGCCACATCTACGTCTACTCCATCGGACGCTCCTAAGCGACGGCGTTTATTCCGCAGCCAGCAGGTGCATCACCGGAGTAGTTCTCTGCAAAGTAGTAGTGTCGCAAGATGCTGATTCGCAACGCAGTAGTCTGAGGTGGAGTAGTTCACAGTCGACGTCGAGTCCCAAAGCTGCGGCTCAACACTTAGGAGGTTTTTCATCTCTGCGAGAATGCAAGTAGTAGCTTTTGGGACCAGGTGAAGCGATTTGTCAGGAAGCAACGAGAACGGTGGAGTAGGTCCTCTTTTGACTGCCAGGCGCTCAATGCTTGGAGGAAGGCTGAAACTGAAGAGAATTGAAGTTCACTTCTCGTAAACACTTCCATGACAACAAAAGAACATCTTCTGAACGTGCTACGGTTTATCCGAAAGGAAGCAATAGGCTACTGATTTGTAGAAGAAAGAGGATATCTACAAACTGTCTAAGGCAGGTGAACCTGGTGCTTTGAAGCCAGAGTCAGTAGCTTCTGGTTCGCTCTACGAGGACTTGTATTCACTCTGTGGTGAGAGACTGTCTCCACTCAAACTCATCTTGTGCAGAATTGTGAAATTGTGCTGGCTTTAGGTGTGAAGAGATAAGATGAACCGCGGTGTTGAAGGCGAGAGACACTTTATACAGAAGTCATCCCACGAGCAAGTCTGAGGGGATTGCACATTCATCATCGGTCTAGCTGTTTTCCTTTCCCTACCTCCAACTTTCCTCGCCCCGTAAATCCCTGCCCACCCTCATGCCAACCGCGATGAAAGACCCTCCAAAATCGTAAGCTAATTATTGACTACGATCACAAATTGTCTGTAGATCTCCGCAGTCGTGGCATCCAGGTTCCTTCTGTGTACGTGTCGCACTGAAGGGCAGTCCACCTCTGCAATACCAACGTGAAGTTTCTTCCATGCGAGTCTTGCCTTTTTATAGGCACTCTCGTCCATATGGCTTCATACATTTTGCAGTGTCCATATGGCTTAAACAGTCACAGGAAGTACAAGAGATCAGGATGATATAGCACACGAGTATAAGAGAGCGATATCTTCTAGATCTCGGACTAAGATCTGCGCGCCACTATTTCCTCCAGATTGTCGGGCTGTTTGTGCCATTACCTGGAAGAAGCGCACGCTAAAACGATAGAAAGTTCTTCCATGCGAGTGCGTTCCCTAGAGTCTAGCGCATTCGTCCATATGGCTTTCGACACAGAACATTTTTCATTTTTGTGACTAAGAGCTTATCTCCCGCGAACTTATCTCCGTAGCAGCAAATAGTAGCGTCTACACCACTATTTTGGGTATCTGCTATGCATCGACACAACCCGCAGAGCCTTCTACTTAGATGAACAGAAAAAGAGGCACCGCTCTGGAAAATGGGAAAACACGGGCTAGTGTCAAAAATTCGCTGGCAGAAAAAGGAGGTGGGAGGCGGAAGCTGCGTCCTGTGAGAAGGTGAATGATGGTTGAGTGGTAACATCTGATGATACACACAAAATGAAATGAGAGATAACTCAAGTGACTGCGTCATTCAAAACAGCGTTGTGTAATTTCGTAAGTTCGAAACATGGAAAAAATGGGGATCAGTCAAGGAAAAAGTGCATGTCATCCCTTGGTCTTCGGTGGCGACTCCTGAATTCCCTGTCGATGCGAAAGATGCGATAGACCGGCCTAGCCAGTGCATTTCGCGTGTTGACAAAGAAGGCCGACGCTGCTGATTCGCAACGAGGTGCGAAGGCGTCTTCGAACTGAAAACTTTGCTGATTCTTCGGCGCCACGACTCCAAGACCGCTGAGCCGTGTCTGACAGCTGTTGTCTGCGCCGATGTCGTGCGTGCTGGCTTCAGTTGCCTCGAACCACAACGTCTACAATAGACCGTAATCGCCATACTCTTCCGCAGATTCGGTGCGCGTAATTCGACACCTGGCTTTGCGTGGTTCACACACTGGATACATGCTGTGCGCTTAATCCGACACCTCGCTTTGCCTGGTTCACACACTGGATACATGCTGTGCGCGTAATTCGACACCTCGCTTTGCGTGGTTCACACACTGGATACATGCTGTGCGCGTAATCCGACACCTCGCTTTGCCTGGTTCACACACTGGATACATGCTGTGCGCGTGATCCGACACCTCGCTTTGCGTGGCTCACACACTGGATACATGCTGTGCGCGTGATCCGACACCTCGGTTTGCGTGATTCACACACTGGATACATGCTGTGCGCGTGATCCGACACCTCGCTTTGCGTGGCTCACACACTGGATACATGCTGTGCGCGTGATCCGACACCTCGGTTTGCGTGACTCACACACTGGATACATGCTGTGCGCGTGATCCGACACCTCGCTTTGCGTGGTTCACACACTGGATACATGTACATACTGTGCGCGTGATTCGACACCTCGCTTTGCGTGGAAACTCTCCAGCATGCCAGGACCGAGTTTCAAGTACGGACAGCATCGCGCGTCATTGCGTGGCGCTGACAAGGTGCCAATCAGCGATGCAGCATGGCGAAAATCCTCAGCACGCATCGTAAAAGCTGCGGACGTGAGTGGAACAAAATATTCGCTAGATGCACTTACGGACGAGGGCGTTCCCTGCCTTTTCTACGATCAGGCGCTGCGAAAATTCGACATGCGCACACTCAAGGTTGATCCAAAGCTGCATTTCATCCACGTGCTTGAGAAACAAAGTGCCCATGTTGATCTAGCGAAAGTGGTAAGACATTTATCGTTGAGAAAGTGGAAATTGATTTACATCGTATTCTCAGAATAGGCGCCTTGTAATTCTAAGGCCAATGAGATTGGTACTAGGGACGGTCATGTGTCGGAGATCGAAGTATGACAACTTCTTCCATAGTCTATTTCGGAACAACTACAGGAAGCAGATGTCTTGTTTTCAATCAAAAAGTAAGAGCAAACACCCGGTCACCTTTTTACAGGCACCATGGAAGAGCGAGGGAATGGAGCCACCGCTGATGATCCGCCTTGTGGCGATAAAAGCAGTTCACAGTGGAGCTGAGGGCCTGCGAAGATTTAAGTACGACAAATCGCTAGGAAATCACCGGATGGTGTATGTAATCGTCCAGATGGTCCTCGTGATTGAAATTTTGACTACAACTGTGTGTGACAATTGCCAGTGCCACGACCTTGAAGGAAGCTAATTCCTCTATCCTTTCTTCTAAAAGAAGTCAGGAAGCTGGGTTGGACCACGACCTGCTTGACGAAGACACGGCAGTGGTGATCGAGTATGACCCACAAGGTTTTCTGGATGAGCAGATGGGTGCCCCACCACTATCTCCGACAACGGCTCGAAGTTTTAAGGCTCCACCTAATCCATCTCGGTACGCGGATTCCTCAATAACATATATTTGTCAGGCGCATGTTGTACAGGGATGGACTAATATGGCTTAGCCGGAAGAACTCGTCTGGGAAATCTTAGGCAGCTCGCCGAATAGATTCAAATAATCGATATGGCTTAGCTCTAATGGTTCAAAGGGGAGGAAAGTACTTGAGCAGGTGGGCACTAAGGTGGTCTCGTTTTTTGGAGGCGCTCCAAAGAAACTAGGGGCGGCGGAAGAAGAGGATGGAACAGGAGGTACTTTAAGGGCACACAGAAGATGATGTGATAGAGTGAAACCGTTCTCGCGGTGTTTAATGCAGGAGGAACACTAGTTGATGCACCTTTCCGAACCACTTGCTGTACAGATTTTTGAGTGAAAGTGCAGGATGGAGGACTAACCCACAAGTCCCGCGCCATAAACATTTCTATTTCATCATCTATTAGGTGTACAGTTCGCCTACCTCTTAAAGGGTCCAAAGACGGACATCGGGTCTGTGCTTCAGACCGCATTGAATGCCATCGATTTCAAGACGCAAGCTGCGGATGGCGCGAAATTAGTGCAGGGGCTTTTGCGTGTGAAGCGGTTACGCAGAGTCGTTCTTGCAATGACAAAAACAAAACGTGTGGAGAAGATATCGATAGTACTACTTCGATGCCTCCGCTTCTGTAAGAAGAGTCGGCATCTACTTAGATGAATACAATATAAGTCGTAGATGAAGCTCCTCTTCGTGTTGTGGCGGAGACCTGATGAAGAGAGGGCGTTTCTCTGGAATGTGTGAATTGAAAACCACAGGTTGGAGGCACGGAGCAGATGCTTGCGAACGTGTATGAGGATGAAATGAGGGAGGACATAGTAGAGCTAGCTTTCAAAGGCGGAACGCATTAAGGCATCCAAGAGAGCACTCTCAGCATCATCCTTGGGTCTTTCCCAAAGCAGAAAAGTAACCAAGGAGGGCGTCAGGGATGCGAACGTGATAGCTTTAAACATTTATTCCGCCATATGCGTTTCCCGTCTCGCCTTCAGAATGGTCGGACGGATCGACCGACACAATAGCAGATAAAGTCGCGCAGGACACTCGAATTACGCGCATGTGCAGACACAATCTCGCTCGCTTTCTGCATGAGTAATTTTGGATCTAGAGCCTTTGCTATCCTACAGGCCTTTTTTTCAGAGTGTTTTATCGTGGTTGAGATCTTCGCTCAGTTCTTTCCGTGGTTAATGAGACGGCGTCGAGCTATTGACTTTTTCCTTCGTGTTCACCGTCGGAGTAATCAATGGTCGCTCTTTTGCAGCAATCCAATGGCAATCCTTCACACTCTGGAATACGGTCACAGATTGCGTTTGTGCATACTCGTAGGTGTCAGCTGTTTTATCTGGCGATTCGAAAATTTGACCCTGTGGCGCTCAAGTTCTTGTTGAGCAAGGACGCGGCAAAATTGGAGATGCGCGTTCCGTCTCGCGTACTAGACGCCATGGCGATGGATGTGCAGCAATTACGACAGTCCTTCCATGGGTCATTCGCTGATAGACGTGTAGCAGCCTCCTTGACACGCTGCACGGCCTTAGCCTGTCAAATTAGGGCTCTTACTGTTGTAATTTGACCTCTCTAAATTAGATCTAGTTCCAGGCACATAAGTATCTGTGACAGTGACTTTCCAAGTTTTCAACTGTAGGGAAATCGTAGATTATCTGCAGTTGAGAGATGTATGTATGAGATAGATAGATGGCTCAATTGGATGGGGCCCCTAATTAAGAGCTGGTCGATTTGGAGCGTCTCTACGATGAAACTCTGGCTACGGCAGCCGACAAAAGAGAGGTGCCCTTGGCGACAGAAATCGATCTGCCGCAGGGCACAGTAGTGGAGGAGACGCCTGCAGGAAAAGAGCCTTCTGAGGGAGCCCTTCCAGGAGTTGGTGAAGATGGTAATCCTGTGTCAACTTCTTCGCCGAACATGAACATGGCAGACGCTGAGGGAGGACCTGTATGGAAGGGAATTTTAGTTTCAATTTTCTTTTTGCTTTCGAAGTTTGTTTCCTTCCTTGGAAGATAGTTTCCAAATTATTCCCAGTCAAGAGTAGTCAATACTCGTACATCATTCAAGGGGAACATGAACTTATAACTATTATGTAGTACGAGGACAATCGTCTCGAAGTAAGTAGTTTTCATTTTCCATACCGTGGATGTTGATCCCCGAAACTGATTAGGAACGTGACTGTAAATACGATTTTCAACATGAACAAAACGGTATCAATCATTTTTCCCCTGTAACCCTATCCCACTTCCATCCATGACTTCCGGTGACCATAGAGAACGAGGCTTCGTCTCCCAGTTTCGTTACCGCAACAGCCGCGCAAGATGGTGTCACAGAAGGGCGTACTGTTGAGCAAGACTTTTCACGCGAGGATACTGCTCTTACAGTCGCGCCTCCAGGAGTGGCGGACGCCAGCACTAGGACAAACAACAATAATAAGTCGAAAGATGCTGAAAGTCTTCAAAGTGGAAGAATACAACAACAATCACCGGATGCTGTAGCTGATCCGCCATTGTCTATGCCATTATCGATGCCGACGTCAAAGCCTGCAGACGGCATAAAACGGTCAGAGGGCAGCGGGAGAGACGGTAATTTGCGTTTTTCTAGATTAAGAATTCGTCCTGTTCTATGATCTTGAGTAAGCTGATGTTGTGCTCGCAAGAATTTGAGAAACAAAGGTTTTATATTCGTAATAGACCGGGTCATAAACTGGTGATATTACTATCAACTTCTGAAGGTGGATGAACAAAAAAGAAAAGCATTTTCCAATTTTCAATCGAAAAAGAACTTGCGACAGGTTCCCATACTGCGACAATAGAAGACGGTGAGGAGGGAGATGCGCCAGACTTAGCGGCTGTGCGACGCGAGCAGCGCGAACGTTCGATGCTGCAGCCCGAAAAAGATGGTCTGCCCTGCTGTGCTTGTCGAGAGGGCGCTGATGACATTGAATGTTGCGTCATGTAAAGAAAGTGCACACTACCAGACAAACTCTGATCGTTTAATTGCACTTATGGGTTACCTGTACTTCACAGATTAATGTAATCATGATTTTTTTTTTCGCTCAATTACTATCTGCATGATAGATGGACGCAACTTGTTGTTTCCATCTCAATGTTTCCATTTGCTTAACGGCTTCAGGCAATCGTGAATGATTTCTTCTGTAAGAATTTGGCTTCGGCAAATCCAATGATTCCTTTGTGAAAAGGACGCATCCGTGCATAGCGATACGCTTTGACAAGATAGGGACTCGTACCAAATGACAGGAGGAGGTTATTCTGCTCTTTACAGAAGGTACAGGATAATTGACAGGCCTCAACGGCGTCAGGAAGACGCATATTATAAGAGGTTACATGACATGACATGACAAGAAGCTCGACCCACAAGCGGTTTTTCCCTTCAATTTAGTTTCCGGTGATCCAGCTTTATCCTCATAGCTGGTGAACCTGCTACGTGTCAGCTATGTGTCGATGGAGCGGCCTACGTCCCACCACTCCTTGCTCCCAGAACAGTGTGAGTTCAACCTCGGTCCTGTCTACGTTCTTATTCCAGATGAAAAGTTACATATTTATCTGAATCGGTTTCACTGGTTGTAGACAAAGCAGCGCGACTGTACGAATCTGTAGCAGTGAATCTCGGTAACGTGGATTTCCGCAGGTGTCTGTTGCTGTTCATCTTCAGTCGGTGCGAAATCAGTATAGGTCCATCGGTGTGATGTGTCAATACCCACTCCATCCCCAACACTTTCAAGTTAGTATTTGATTTGATATATGTCATATTCAATATGGACTTGGTTCTTTCTGTTTCTGATGCATCAAAAAGATTTAGATTTCTCATTGAGGAAAGATCTTTGTCGTCACAGTGTATTGACTTCTCCGACTTGGTTGGTCGTGTTGGTTTCGTTTGTGGAGCTTTGCAAAAATGGATCGGCTCAACAACGGCTCCCCTCGTCCCCCTTGTACGAACCCTAAGCGGGCGACAGGTGCGGAGGAGGCAGATGCAGCACCGCATAAGAAATGCAAACTGGACAAAAGTCCGCGTGAGGAAGCACTATTCCGGGTTGCCTCGCCTTCCAGTCGCGCACGCAGAGAGGTCGACCAGTGTCCGGCGAATACGAGCGCCTCGCAATGCGCGCCTGCGCAGTTTGGCTCTGTTCGTGGTACTTTTTTACGTCAAACTTTGAATACAGTCGTGATTAAATGGAGCGAAGTTATTCTTGTGCTATCAAGTGCAAGCTCGACATTTTTATATCTCTTCGGCACCTGATCGAATACTAGTTATGTAATTTTTCTAGGGTTTGCGCAACTCAAAACACTTGCTTCGTATCATGAAGTTTTTCTTTTGAGTTAGACCGCGTAGCTAGGTACAGAATCTCTTCTTTCTTCCTCCATTGTCAGGTGAAATCAACGGCGCTGCCGCGAGTTCGTCGACAGCAAGAGATGGGCTATTGCCAGTAATTCGCGTGGATGCTTCTCGCAACGGTGTGGAGCCTACAGCGGCAGAGCGGCAAATCGGGAATCGAGCAGAGGGCAATGACCTTCGCTTACTCGATGACGAGGATGAGGAATCATCAGACGCAGAGTCGGATCTTGCTCAGGACTTCATTGACGAGGAGGAGGAGACCGGGGCGGAATCATTAGATGACAGTGCAGGGCCAGACCTGTCGCATCTACCGCCTGTCTCGCAGGAAGTAGTGCCAGCGGAGGGCCAACCTCGCAATTGTCCGAGACAAGGGCAGCGAGGCTTTAACCGGTTTTACCGGAGCCTTTTACAGGAGGAAGGTTTCTTCAATGACAGGCCAGCAAATAACGGCGAGGAGTCTTTGCAGCTCCTCCCACATCAGGAGGTGGTCTTGTATGGGCTTCATTCCGGATTCACTCCGAGAATCCTCGTGGACCACCGAACCGGAGCAGGAAAAACTCTAACGATGATCAAGACTCTGGACACATTCTTGATGTGTCCGTGGCCGAAGATTGTCATCCTCCCGACGGAGACACTGCGGCGCAACTTCCTGCAGGAGCTCATAAAGTTTCCAAGTTCAGTGCGTCGCTTTTGGGCAGCCTATTATCCTCAGGCGGCCGCAGAGTACATTTTATAGATTTCAATCTCTCGGCTTACAATTTTTATTTTTCAAAAGCAGGCGATAGATGACTGTCTCGCTCATGAATGCAATTTCGAGAGATATAGCTGCTGTAGGAAAAACTACTTTCTCACGAAGTACTTTCACTTCTGCATACTTCTACTTGAAATCGTAATCCATGTTTTCACTTTCGTAGATGTTGTTCCACTCGTGTTTTTCAGGGCATGCGGTTGTGACAATTGGGCTAGTCCTGGACGCATTAATGCTATTTGGACCCCGAAGCGTGGCATGATCCAGAGTATGTCAGATTTGATTGCACTAAAGGGAAAGTTGCGAAGTAATGCAATCAGACCGAGGGCCTTGGAGGAGCATGCGGAAGCATATCCAGGAATTCAAATGCCTCGAGCCCCCATCCGGATCATGAGCTATGGGCGCGCGGGAGGCTCCGCGATGCAGCCAAGCAATCCCGACGTCGTCCTTCGTTTCGGGAAAGAAGCGCCGCCTGAGGGCGAAGAATGGACAGCTTCCGCATTGTGGAGTAATGCGGTCGTTCTCCTTGACGAGGCGCACAACGTCTCCAGATCTAATAGCCAGTACGCAACGCAGCTCGAGAGACTTCGAAAGGCCTTGCAGTCCACATCTTCGCGGGATACACGAGTGGCCATGTTCACGGCGACGCCGGCCGGGGACAGGTGTGAAACTGCGCGATGTGTGCAGGAGGGTACGAAAATGCTGCTCGACGCTCTCAAGGGGAGGCCGGACGCTCCACGCGTCTGCGACGAAGGCTTCGTGAGCCACTTCGACCAGCAGGACGGCAACTTTCCATCAGTTCGATCAGTGAGGCAGCAGGGCGAGACACTACTAGGCAACGTACGATCGTACAAGAAAGCGGTGGTGCGGCGTGTCACGATGGGAAGTGCCGTTGCTCTGCGCTATGCGCGAACGCATTTGGTGACGCAGGGCAGCACGTCCTCAACTTTGACCATCGAGAGACGGAAGCGTGCCCGGTGCGGAATGTGGTTACCACCCCAGTCTGCGACTCGAGCGGAGAACGTGGAGTTTCTCAGCGGCACCCTGGCAGCGGAATACGCAACCAAGGCATACGAAGCTGGCCGTGAAATCTGCAGGAAGAAGCAAAAAAGCTTGGTGCTGTGTCGTAAGCGCGACGGGCTGAAAGCGACGGCGCTCGTTTTGCGGAGTCAGCTAGAGCCTCTGGGCTTTAATGTCAAAGTGTTGACTGACAAGTCGCAAGCAGCCGCGGCAATGCAGGACTTCAATAGTCAAAATAACGTATATGGCGAGCGTGTCTTGGTTCTCATCGCCGACGTCGAGAGTTGCGGCGAAGGAGTTTCATTTTTTCAGGTATTTCCTAGCCTTTGTTATTTTGGTTTCTTTTCTATCAGCCCTATCGCTTTTTATGTGACGACGTTGCAGACAGATGAAAGTCATAGTTTCATACATTCGCAATTTGAAAGTTCTGCGCCTAGCGTTCCGCTTTGACTATGTGTCGCAATTCAACTCTTCCTCTTGGTGTTTGTGATTTCACATCCGCATCCATTGTCCACACGCTTCTCAGGTGAGACATTGTCATATTCTTTCGCTGCCCGAATCTGCGACGGAATTTCACCAGTGGCTTGGTCGTTGCAATCGATATCAGTCACACCAAGCGCTTCCCGCCGCCGCAGATAAAACGATACAGTACTATCTGTACGTTGCCGAGCTTCCAAAGCAATGGCGACCTAATAACCCCGATCCGTCTAAGCCCACACACGATTGGGCATTCGTCAGGACGCTGATGTTGCCGTCGATCCGGCAAAGGGAGGAGCATAACTTCCTTTCGGACGTTGAACGCTTAATGGAAGCGTATGAAAGTAGCAGTGACATTCTCGAAGACCATACCCGCGTAAAGCGAGAGCTTCGGGATGACCTCTTGCTCGAGTTAGACATCAAGTCCTTCGCTGACGACGCCGGTGCTTTTCGGTGGCTGCGTCGCACACAGGATGAAGCTCACGTTCAACGGCTCGCAGAACAGATCGAGACTTCCGAGGAGGCGATGGCTAACTGGCGCAGGTCAGCAGCCTTTGACTGGGATTGCTACAGTGGTGAAAATTAGCAACGACAGTGCTTTAGATTGTAGAAATATGAACTGCTTGACACCGCTTCACACAGGATGGATATGATTCAACGAGATTCAAATTGTTTGGACTCCATTTTCTATTCAGAATCATTTTTATATTTTGCAGAGTCATAGCCGAACGAACTAGCATGATATCGGGGATCTGGATATCAGGGACGTACCATATTAGATGTAAGGGAGCAGGACTCCAAAAATACTCGTTGTGTAACACCGCGAAATGTCATAGATAGAGCACTGCCTAGCAGAACTTCAAGTGCGAGCATTTATTTACAGAATGAAAGTATACAAATTACGATTAGAATACAATCGGATTGAGAAGGGGTGGGCAAGTAAGGCGCATGCGCTTTTGTTTGAGGAATTTGAGTTCAAATCTTACACATGATTGATATTGTCATGTAAAAACTTTCTTCTGAACTTTGAGCACTGCAGTGCATAATCAATTGATCACTTCATCTAATCAGATGGATTGTTTGCGTAACACAGCGAGCTTGTCAAAATCTTTTCAATGAATATTTACTAGGTCTGATCATCATCTGTTTGAGCACCATTGCGAATACTATGAGTGTTGGAATGTACAAGAACTCGGCCTTTCGCTGACAAGTAATTGACTGTCTGTTGTCTACTCTACCTGCAATTTATTTATGGGTTAGCAATCCAATTTGTCACTTAGATTAACAATCCAGCCTGACATTAACTCAACGATAGCCAACATGTAGCACTGTTAGAGGCGCGATGATAAGAGATTATGACTGACCTGAACTTCTACCTCACTTCTGAAAAACCGACTTTGTGCGACATAATTAATACTTGATCAACGAAAAACAACATAAGATTATATAACTCTGATTCTTGACAACTATGACTACTTTGAGCTGCATTTTCTTGCCATGAAGAATAGAAGCACTTATAGAGTTTTGAGACAAAAGATATGTGTCACTTTTAACATGTTGAAAGCCACGCTCTTTGGAGTCCTGCTTCCCAGCATATGCGACGCGATCTTTGGGAAACCAATGGCGTTAGTGTTCACAAACAGACATCGGTTATCCGGTAAGGGATATCTAAGGTTTCTCGCGTCCTGGATCCTGATATAGAGATCGTCGCCTTTGGTTGCGGTCGGTTCTGTCTCCAAAAGAAAAGAGGTTCCAAAGCTTGGTGTGCCAAGTAGTCTGCACTGATCCTGTGGGCGATCAAGATATATTTTGGCATTAGTCTTGTTGTTACAATCCCCGCTCTCGTTTTCCTTTTCTGTTGTAGAATTTAACTTGTTTCTTCGGTACTCTGCATTAGCCCGCCATGAAGTGTTTTCCTTTTTGATCTCGACTTGTTATGGCCGATAGACGATGCATCTGGAAAAGTGTATTGAGACGAGTAGAGGAAGGATTAAGTACGTATCTACTCGCTCATGTCCATAACGGTTTTTTGTGATAGAGATCCATATTAATTCATAATTCTTGTTATGCGTAATCTGCTTGTTGCATTATTTCAGATTTATTAGCTGCAGTGGTCAAGCTGAAGGACCACAAGGAAGGAGAACAGAATGCAGGACGCCTCCGCATCGTCGCGAGCTGCCAAAAGGCCACGCCTCGAAGCAGCTTACTCTGCGTTTAAGCCACAGGGACTTGCGCAGGCCCAGGCGTTTCGTGTGCTGGAGCACCCATCGAATTCAGTTGGGTGCCGGATCGCTGACGATCAGACCCTACTCACCTCCAACCCGCGAGTGGTTTCGGCTAGGCATAAGAAGATCGCGCTCGACGAATTCGTAGAGAAGTGGGGGGAAGGAGGCGAACCGCACACATGCCTTCCGCATCTCGGAGTCTCAAAAACTTTCCGCTCGGGCTCTGTCTACAGCGACACTGCCTTTGACTCCGATATTACGAGATTCCAGACCGCGCAGATCGTCCTGAGGAAATTCTTTGAACAGGAGCCAGAAGCTGCTCAATATTTTCGGATCGGCCTCGCGGAGCCAAAGGTCACATTATGGATTTGGATGAGTTTGAAGCTGATCGACGATAGTGCCGAACTTCATAGGCTAACGGTGAATCGAGTTGATTGATTTCCCTATAGAGCAGACGGCCACGCGGGCCATTCGATGTCTTCTTCATTGGATATCGATGCTGACGCTTGACTTGGTCCTGCAAGCTCAATATGTAACCTATCTCAATTTCCAGGTGTACACTTTCAGAAATGGCGACGCGAAGTGCTTGGTAGAGCCTTTCATCCAGAACTACGAAATTTTTTCAAATAATTGGGGCTGGGGGGCTCGCTCGCATGACTTCCCCGCAGCAATCTCGCACTTCAGCTATCACTACAGTCTATCAAAGGGGTCCAGCGCAACAATTCTAGCGGGATTCCAGGGATCTCGAAGGGAAATGAGTGCGCAGCTGGGCTTGAGCGGTGCCACGCGGCCAATTACGGAGTATAATTTTTCGGATGTCAACGTCATTTGTGGCGAGACGGAAAAAGGAGGAACCTACGGCCCGTCTGACACAGGTACAGAAAAGTCACCTCGGCAACAGTAAAGCTACCTCAAGGCAGTCTTCAGTTTGGCCATTCTTTTTGGCTATAGTATAGAAGATAGAAGAAATAAGCGAAGCAGCTGCGTTTTCAGAGATTGTTCTAGTCTATTTGTTTCTTAGATTAAACTAAGTTTGAGCCCTAAATGCAGTGCATGCTCATGAAAATTGCAGTCAGATTCATGAAATGAAAACTACAGGGCAAGATGGGATCGATAAATTTTTTGCGACGCATGTATGCGGACGCTGGTGCAACAAGAAATGGCTTCGCCCTGGTGCGAGTGCCCATTCTACTAGCAGCTATCCATTGAGTACGCGGCAGGGAAGTGGCGCAAGCTCTTCGTTAGCTTCCTCTAGCGAGCATGGAGTCTTTGCCCAGAATTCGGACAGCAGCAGAACGCGTCACGTCCCTGCGGAATCACTTCCAGAGAACAACCGAACCCGTTACATTCCTGTGCAGTATTTTCCAGGTAATTCGTTCTATCAGGGCCTTTTTCTATGTCCAGACTCTGACGAGATGCTCCTGCACAAAAGTTCAGTACTGTGCTACTCTCTTACTCGTCACTTTTTTCGACTAGAGTTAGTGTTTTTAGCAACTAAGATGCACGCATCCAAAGTCCTAGAGATTCTATTACTCGTCTTGTCTTGCTGGCAGTGGAGTAGTACTGTCTAAGACGCAAATGAATGAGTGAATCGATGAAAGTGAGAGCTTCGCTCTCTTTCTCCGTCGCTCATCTACCACAACCTTTTGCATCTCACTCTCAAAGGGAACCGCGGCGCGGCGTCCACTTCTTCAGAAGGCTCCGCTAGACCTGCCTCTAACAGATTAGCGCAGCACATCGACTCGTGGCAGTGCGACGATCCCAACGACTTCGGCGACCTTGAAGAAGAGGCTCTGAGTGAAGTAGGGTCTTGTATGGATGAAGACTTCGGAGAGATTACGGAGAACGAAGGAGATGAGCCCGCCTTTGCCGACGGCGTTGACCTTTCGCACCTGCCGCGCGTTTCGCAAAGTCCTGTTCAGGCAGCCCCGCGGCCGGCAGGTTATCTTAAACAAGGGCAGCGCGGCTTCAACTCATTCTATCGCCAACACCTGCGGGCGGCAGGGTGCTTCGAGTCCACAGATTTGCTTCCGAATTCAGAAAAGTCTGTGACGTTGCTGCCGCATCAGAAGGCTGTCGTGTATGGGTTAAAGTCCGGCTTCACTCCCAGACTCCTCGTTGATCACCGAACCGGAGCAGGGAAGACCTTGACAATGATCAAGATACTAGACACGTTTTTTATGTGTCCTTGGCCGAAGGTTGTCATAGTCCCAACTGCCAGCCTACGCCAGAACTTCCTTCAGGAACTGATCAAGTTTCCCAGTTCGTTGCGCCGCTTTTGGGCAGCCTATCACCCGCAATACGCCACAGAGTACTTAGACTTATGCTTTCTGATCGTCCTCGCAGGTGATCCTTATCGGCTAGTCGCTCTCGCTTCTAGCATCATTTACATCCATTTACAAAATAAGGCGCCTACTATGAGATAGTGCTTGATGGGAATTGACTGGCGAAAGTGGTTTTGATAGTTTTGATGAAAAAGTGACCCATTTGCAAGCATCTTATTGACTCGCACCCACAGGGCCTGTGGTGCAGAAAATTGGGCCAGCCCAAACTGCATTGATGCTCTTTGGGTACCAAGGAGAGGAATGGTTAAAAGTATGGAGGACACAATTGCGCTGAAGAACAAGATACGACTTAACCAGCTGCAGCAGAAGCCTTTCGAGGATCACAAGAGGAAGCTCCCAGGAATCCACTGGCCACAAGCACCGACGCGCATCCTAAGCTACGGCCAGGCTGGCGGTTGCGCGATGCCGCGTGAGGGAACTTCCAAGGACCCAGATCCGGTCCTGCGATTTGGCAAGGAGCAGCGTAGTTTCTGGTCGGATGCGGCTATGTGGACGAGGACGATTGTGCTACTGGATGAAGCGCACAATATCGCGCGTGAGGATAGCAAGTACAGGACGAAGCTAGAGAGGCTCCGCAACGCTCTGGGGCAAACATCTGCGGACCGCACAAGACTGGTGATGTTCACGGCCACACCAGCAGGCAACAGGTGCGGAGGCCCTGCTGACGTCGATGAAGGCACAAGGCCGCTGATTACGACTTTGCTGGGAAAAGAGAGACCAGAGTGCCAATCCGAGGAGGGTTTTGTGAGCTATTTCGACGCGCAAGGCGCCGGCTTTCCCACTGTGCAAACCTCAGCATCTGTGGCGAGGACCTTAGGAAGCGCGAGCGCGTACAAGAAGGCGACGATCCAGCAGGTCACTATGGGCAGCTCGGTCGCCTTACGGTACGTCAGGACACATCTGCAGCCGTCGGCGTTTGACGAGGAGAAGAGGCGAAAGCAGCTGCAAGCACGGTGTGGCGTATGGGTGCCGCCACAATTTGCGGCACGCGTGGAAAACGCACACCTCCTAGAGGAAGCAACCGCACAGGAGTACGCAACAAAAGCGTACCATGCTGCGCAAAAGATTCGCGCAAGTAGGCAGAAGGCGCTTGTGCTCTGTCGCAAGCGTGATGGACTACAGGCAGTGGCGCGCGTTTTCCGCAGCATGCTTGGGCCGAGTGGTATTGAGGTGAAGGTGTTGATAGACAGGGCCAAGGCTCCCGCAGCAATGCAACAGTTCAACAGCGCCGACAACACCGTAGGAAGCAAAGCCCTAGTGCTGATTGCAGACACAGAAACATGCGGCGAAGGCGTTTCGTTTTTTCAGGTACAGGAAATAGGTAAGTGCGTGAACATGTTGAAGACGAAGAATATAACTAGGAGAGCGTCTTTTCTTTATTAGCAGGAAGCTGACTCGTGCCGCATAGAAATGCTTGGCCCAGCGGAAACTATCTATGCTTTTGATTCTCCAGTCCGTTCTTCGTTTTCCACTCAGGTGCGGCAGTGCCACTTTTTGTCAATGCCGGAGTCCGTCAGTGAATTTTATCAGTGGCTTGGGCGTTCCAACAGATTTCGATCGCACCACGCGCTACCCCTCCCGGACAGAACAGTCGAGTACTTTTTGTACGTTGCTGAGTTTCCTTCGTGCTGGCATCATGGTCTCCAGCCAGGTGCTGCGGCTTGGTCGTTTTTCCGCACGTTAATGGGGCCCGCGCTGCGGAGCCGCATAGAGCACAAATTTCTTCATAACGTGCGCAGGCTCGTCGACTTTTACCACAATAATGCTGAGGATCTTCGTGCGGCGTTTGGAAAGAAGAGAGCAGATCGCGACCCAATTCTGGAAGAGTTGGGTATCAAGTCGAATCCGCTAGCTTCGTTTTGGGAGAAGACCAGGGAGTGCGAGGCTTTGCAACTCCTCCGTCAAACTGAGGACGAGAAGCAGTTGCGTAAATTGAAGCGAAACATCGAAACTTACGAGACCGCCATCCAGATGTGGCGGCAGAAAAGGGCATTTGACTGGGGCTGTTACTAAGCTTGGAATGACCACAAAGAAAGATCAAAGTTTCACCGTTTGCCGAATATGGAGCACAAAAGCCGCTTCGCATGATCGGCCATATTATCGTCATTTATTCACAGAAGATGCAAAGTCATCAAATGCAGTGAAGTTCAGTGTGCGTGCATCAACTCCCTTACAGCCGTTCCCCTAGATTTCTCGCGGATCCGTTGTATATTTCAAATTTATTGTGAAGCACGCAGATAGGAATTTGAAATCTTATCGACCTTCAAATACGACTAAGAAAGATTACCTATTTGTTTTCCTCATTGGAAATCCTACTTCTTAACGACGTAATATTCACTCGAATTATACCTTCCTCTATCGATTACCTATTTCTTCGTGTGTGTAGTGACATTACTTAGAATTACTACTGTTTTCCTTTCAACATAGAAGTCGTGTCGCGACCATTTCCTCTTGTCCTTTTATTCGTTTAAAGTAATCAGGCGTAACTTCAATGATTCCAATGATGATCATGCCTATCATATTCGCTCACGAAGCCGTATTTTTCGAATCTGCGAATTTTTGTGTACTACCAACATCTGGTACTCTGACTCTCATGTGCCATAGCTCGTGTCTGAATCCCAAACGCGATCATTGTCTCCTTAGTAGAGCAACTGTAGTTGATGATTGAACAAATTTCCTAAAATTCCTAGAGCAGGCACACATCTCATCTCTACTTTTCCTTTCCAAAGAAGTTATGTTGCAAAGACCAAGCAACGTGCACGTTGAGGTTGTCGGGCCTACAACATCTTGGAGATTTCAACTAGCGGGAATGGTCTTGCCTATATGTTCTCGCAGAAAAATCGGTTATCCGTGAGAATGTTCTGATCATTCACAACTTCCGTCCGCATCTTGGATCCTGAGAGGTCGATCATAACAAAGGCATCTACAGCGTTGAGGATACTTCAGAATGAAGGGAAGGTGGAATATGAATCTACACGATCTTTCCATTCTAGTGCAGCATCGATCTGGATGAATCTGCTGGTACTGGATGAATACAAAGAAACGATTATGATTAAGGTGGATAGTTGCTGATGGAGGGAGGAAGAAGTAGAACTTAATATAGCTAAGTGTTGTAGGTACAACAACTATGAGATTAAGAGGCAGCAGTCAGCTACTCGTTTTGTTCACCTTCTAGGTCATCACAAGCAAATCGGTCTCTCCTTCCTTCTAGATAACCCTTGTTAGTAAGAATAAATCTTTAATTCTTTTACCTCACCCTGCAAAATCAAACAACTAGCAGATACACCGACGCTTTTGTATTTTGATGTTTTGTATCCGAAAGTTGAAAGAAGCTGTTTTTTTCTTGTCAATTTTCGCGCAAGATCTATTTTCTTCATTGGTTGCTCAATATCTGTTCTTGTCTTGATTCGTGATATTTACATCTGAATACACCGTAGGTATCCGCGTATGAATTCTAGTTATTGAGTACTAGTATATTAAAGTTTAAATTTGGGCTATAAAAACCTGTCTAGCACGTAGGTTGTAGTTGATTTGCCAATAAATGCCGTTGCCATGGCTCCTAAACACCCGAATAAACCTGGGCCACGAAAGGGAGGCGGCAAGGGCAACAAGGAGCACTTCGAGCAAAGGAAGCAGGAATATGCGGAAACAGGCAAGAAGGAGCGCGAAGCTCGACAAGCGGCGCACAAAAAGGAGTTGCGCCGTGAAAAGTAACTACTCAAAAGGTTATTTGGACTGTTGGTTCATCATGAAATTTCTTCTCGGATGAATCTTATCGACGAACACGACGATGTTATCGCATCAGCAATAGTAGAAATTAGGATGAATAGTTTCACTACAACAACTGAAAATATACCTACTTCTCTGTGCTAGCTGTAGTACGTATAAATATATAATGCTACAGGTTCGAGTTTTTTCGCCAACGAGCTGAGGAGAAGAAAGGCGGCGACGCCTTGTTGGAAACCGGCGTTACCTTCGTGATGAATAATCTTGGGCACCCGAAGCCGATCAATGACTTAGATCCGCATTGGGTGTGCTCCGAAGTGGAGCTTTTCGGCTTTTTTCCTAGTGATTTTTACGTGGAAGAAGATGCTAAGGGCGTTTTCTTTGAAGCAGATAATAATGTTGCGCAGACGGAAGGACAGCAAGGACAGCTGCTTCTTGATGCAGATAGTGCACTTCTAGAGAGTGCTCCAAATATGAACAAAGGGCTTCGGAGAGTTTTGTCGGAGCTAGAAGCCTTTTTCGACGAGCAGGCATATCTGCTAGAATTGGTCCTTTACCTGCCCTTCCATCAATTCTGGTCCAACGTGGTGTACAATCCTACAGTACTGCCGGCTTTGCGCTCCTTCGTGGCATACTGCACGCGGCCACACGACACTGGACGGCGGCAAGACACCGGAGCCAGCGAGGCAGCGAAAGCGAGCAAAAAACCAGCGTCTGTATCTGACGAATCAGGGGAGCCGAAACAGACTATGGCAGAGGCGCGTCGAGATCTCTTTGGCGAGACGACAGCGGAATTAGATCGTGCACGCAAAGAGTGCTACGAACTTGTCTTTAGGTTACTCTTGCGCCTCACAAAACGCTCGGAATCGCCAACAGAACGCATGGGAGAACAAAAGTACTTAATTACTTTGACACCTGCAGCTAGGTCATCCTGAATTAGGTACTTTGCGCTTTCTTCATGTAGGTATAGGGACGAGAAGTATGATTGACTGATGACAAACACAAATCGTTTTTATTCATATTTCTTACCCGAGCTAAAACTGATATTCACTTTATGGCTCCTCCCGGCTGCTTCAGCGTTTGTGGATTAATAGAATAGTGAATGATCTCAATCCTTACATTTATGACCGAAGTGCTAATCATCAGATACGCGGAACTGATGCAAGAGGTGTGGACGATGCCCATGTTGCTTGATTTTTGCGCGGTTTATGGTTTCGTGAATTTCGACGATGTGCATTTGAGCGTGCACGAGGTGATGTCCGTCGCTACAGCCCAGTACACGACGAAATACGCTGTGCACCGCAAAGCGTTCGATGACTTACTGCGGAAAGCCCTTGACCGCGCATACGATCACGGGGACGAAGAAGCATGGGACTTCTTAGGGGACGCACTTGCGCAGCTAGAGTGCGTTTACTCGTTTTTCCCAGACAATTTCTCGTTCCTTAGTCTGAAAAACGTCGGAGGCGGCTCTTCTTCGTCTGCTTCGTCGTCCTCTGCTGCACCTCCAACGGAGGATCATGGAGACGCGCAGCTAGTAGTCTACGAAGACTTGTATCAAAAAGCAGCGGAGCGTGACGATCTAGCGTTCATCCAGAAGCGCGTGCGACGTGTAATTGTCCGCTTTTGCCAGGCGAGGTCTCCCTTACGAGGTGGTCTAGAATCGTTTCACAGGCTAGAGGAGACCATGTTGCGGTTCAGCGACGTCGAGTATCCTGCGGTGGACCTGCTCAGCGCAGCCTGGGCTCCGGTTCTTGAGGAATGGTACGGGGAAAAAAGCATCGACGTGGACAGAGTGGAACACTTGATGTACTTGTGCGGCATCGCGAACCCGCGGCAGCGGCGCGCGGAGCGCCAGGTCGGACCCACCGACGCTGCGGACCTCTTTGCGACGTCGGTTTCTGGGGAAATGCGCGGGAAAATCGGCGAGATGGAAGAACTCTTTGGCGCTGGCAGCTTTGGACATGGCTTCTTGTGCGCGGTGCTGAGGCACTACGAGCAGGACACAGCGCGCGCGGCAGACGCAATTCTGTGCGACCAGCTGCCCGTTGCGCTCGCCGCGCTGGACAAACAACTGAGCTTGGAAGCGATGGCTGCGAGTCGGCAGCAGCGTGATCATGGAGGACCACAAACGAGTGGTAGTTCTTCCTCGGGAGCAATGTTGCGTGAGACACCAAGTCTGTTGAGGGATGCGCAGTTCGGACTCCACAAAAGCAAAAAAAATTTGTCCGACCGGGACGAAGCGAAATTAGCGCAGGAACGCACGCTGAATCTAGTGGCGCAGCAGGAAGCCGAGGAGGAAGAGGACGACGGACTGGACGACGAAGAGCGGACGCAGCGCTTCCTGGAGATGGAGCAGGCGAAGTGCGACGCGGAGTACCACGACTTTCTCAAACACAAGGAGCTCACCGCGAAGAAGGCCTTGGAATACGACGACGAGCCGGTTATCCGAAGAGGGCACTTTTTGCTCAAAGAGCAAGAGAAGGAGCGCGAGTTTCGAAAGCGACGGGCAGAGAAGGTGAAATACTTGGAAGAGCGCAGAAGACAGAGAGACCTTGCATTAGCAGCACAAAAGGAAGATGCTGCGACGGGAGGTGGAGGGAGCAGCGCCAGTGGAACTCAGAAGAAAGGAGCTGATCATACGCAGAAAGGAGCGAATAAGAAGGGAAGCAGCGAGCATACTGGAGGGGCGGGTGGGGAAGATAAAAAGGGACGCCAAAACCAGAAATGGCAGTATGACGAGTACTACGGGTGGAACGGCTACTACGGAGGTTCGAATGCTCAGTACTACAAGACGGGGAACGGCGACTACGAAGATGCTGGAACTACAAGAGACGAAAACTACGCAGATGGAGATGCCAATGGATACCACGACGAAGGCGAAGATGCAGTCGATCATAAGGGGAACTCTAAAGGCGGAAATCGACAGCGCGGCTTTGATTATGCGCCTTTGAACCGGGATCAAGGCACGCTTGGACGCAAGAAACAGTGGTGGAAAAACGAGTATGATGATGAATCATGCTTGCAGGAGAGCGCTGAATCCAGCGAAGGCACGGGGCAAACAAAGGGCAAGGGTAAGGAAACCGGTAACAGTAAGGGAAAGGGTAAGCAGCGAAACGGGTCTAAAGGAGGACGATCCGAGAAGCAGGATGATGCCGAAAAAGAGGAGAAAAAAGTGGTACAGGGGCAAAGCTTTGGCGCGCGCAAGAAGGAGCAGTTCAAATCCAAAGCAGCTAATCACAATCGTAGAGATCGCTTCGCCGCTAAAATGAGTAAAGCATTTCTGTAAATTCAGCTTCGAAGTCCTCTTCGTGATATTGATAGATACTGATACTCATCCAAAAATTTTCACAAGTTTTTGTTCTTCCCCATTCACATCTACAGCTCCAAAAAGTTAGCAGCAACTGTACTTACTACAAGGCCTTGTGTGCTCTTGTCCATGTGACAAAGACTTCCCGACAACATCTTTGAGCTTTGCTCATACAGAAGACGGCTATCCGCCGTCGGTCTGAACGTTCAGCCGGCTGTTCGTCTGCGAACGCCTTGTTTAGCGCCTCGTCTGGATCACAGCTTACGATCTCGATACTCACTCTACCAAACCACAATGAAGCTGCTCATGAACAGGAATCAAGAACAAATTTGTAAGGCAATCATGCTGGAGACCAAATATTATTTGACTTTGCCCAAAAATTTTGAATCAAATAAGAGAGAGCTATTGGATTCCGATAAGAAATAGAATCAGTACCTTTCGGTCTACTCTCTGACTTCGATCGTGGGCTGATGCACTCTGCGATCCTAGCTTCGATCCTAACCTTTGCCCTTCAGAATTTGGAAAGAAGTCCGACGCGGAATTGATATTTTTTCAACCGGCGCGGGAAAGTAGGAACAAGAATAGAAATACTAGTACGATCATGCCCCCATGCGTCAGTATTGTTACTCAAATCAAATGCAAATGAATGTTTTCTGTCGATTTGCTTGGGAGTTGTCCTAAGTATTTGCTTCTTTTGTAGTTCTGCAACATTGTAGTTGGGCAACACTACCTATGCTATCTGGAATCACAATAAATGGTTGACGGGTTTCCCAATTGCAATTGAATTAGATCCTTGCTCATCATTTTCCGATTTAATAAGCACAGGTTCAGAGCCATAGCGTTTCGTGTCTTCACCGATTTCTGCTATGTCCCGGAAGCCCCGGGCGATTTGATTGAGTTCAGCGGTGACTAGATCAAACTAGTTGCTCTTATCCATCTTCTTTTACACTGACTACAGACTCTTTACCTAGTATGATGTTGCGATCAACCTAGTATGATCGACGACGTGCAATCTCTGGTTGCGACGACCTCAACCGCGTTCCCAGTGCCGACGTTGGGCTAATATTTGTACTGGCTACACTGGCTACATCATTGTAGCAACTGGATCCATCGCTGAACTTGAACTTGAACTTGGTATACCAGTCTACCCGAGTGGGGCAGTTGATATCGGACACTCTGCTCTTCTACTAAGTTTTCCCAGAAGTTTCGCTGAAAGATCCGGCATAACCAGAAATCGTAAGCCAGGATGACCTCGATTTTGGAGCAGACGCGAAGTGCGCATGAGGCGCTCGAGCACCTCGAGAAGAGCATGAGCATCGTCCTGCAAGAGCGCTCCGAGAGCAGTGTGCCGAAGGCGCAGGTGGCGTGTGAGTCGCGACTGCGATATCTGTTGGAGGAAATGCAGAAGCACGCACAACAGGCACTCGATCTCTACGAGGATAAGGATAACATGCGTGCGGAAGAGTGCGACAAAATTGCTGGAGTCGACACGCAAAAACCAGATGCGACTGTCTGGAACGCATTCTACGATAGAGTCAAAGAGGTACAATTTTTGTTCGAGTCGAGGAGGGAGTTTCCATTTGTTTCCTGAAAACGTCAGCGTTTGCACGAAGATATTGGACGTAAATCAATGTAAGACCAACTACGTTGTTGATCTCATTTATTAATTCGATGTTACAACGACACTTGAACAAGGGGTAAGTAGGCATACCACATTATCCATTCCAATACTTCAGGTAAAGAATTACCATCGGAAGAACCCAATAGAGAAGACACGAATTGAGACGACCGATCCGCATTGGTATGTCACAAGGGCGAAAGAGATAGACGACACCGATGCCAAATTTTCTGCCGAAGAGGCCTTTGGCAAGAGGCTAGACCTTCATGCCCATTATCTCCGGTTTATCAACATGAAAAAGTACCGGGACATTAGGGCGAAGCGGCACACAGAAATGATGCTGGTAATTGATATGCAGATAGAGTGTGATTGCTAACAGCAATATTAACATACAATTTTCAACATTCTGGTTGTCTGACTCTTTCTGAAACACCACATCAACTACTTCTTTTGAAATTATAGTTTGTCTGACCACTAGCTATAATTTCAATTGAGTCGAGAAACACAACTTCTGGTAGTACTTACATCAACCCACCAGGAAGGAACCAAAAGCAAAACCAACCAAAACTGCATAGGCTCGCTTGCGTCGAAAGAACCCAGATAAAGACGTGGATGTGACTGACCCAAAAGTTCAGGAGGAAATAAAATTTACGGAAGTGGACTACGTGAAGTGGCTACAGTCGCTCCACGAGTTCTGGGAGTGCCCACGACACTGCAAGTACCGCGAAGCAGGTTATACCGAGTACGTTAAGCTTCTTGCAGAATACCTCCAGGAGTTTATCCAAAGGTCACAGCCGCTCCAGAATATGGATCAAATCCTGAAACAGTACTAAATTTTTACCCATTTTTCCAGTACCAGTCTATGGACTTCTATGTTCCCCAGTCCAGGACATAGGAACAGGAGAAGACTCTGTACTAGTTTTACCCATTCCAGTACACTAGACTACTAGTACTAGTTTACTCCTTTATACATGTAACAGTCTAGTCTCCTTTACATATAACAGTTCTCTATGTTAATAGCAGTACAGTTTTTATCCATTCATCGCTATTCCATAGATTCGACGAGGAGTTCGAAGAACAGTGGGAGAATGGACAGAGGAGAGGCTGGGAGGAGCCAACGTGCAAGATGGACCTATATGTGCGAGCTACCGACAGGCTTTTTAGCAACGCAAATACAAAAGCAGGACACGAAAAGAGCAAAGCGTAATAAATTTAACTATAAGACGATTTTAGCGTGTCCTTCGACGAGTTGCATAAGCTTCATCATACTCACAGGTCAGTCTTTCCCTTGTCATACTCCCGTCAACTAAACGAAATCAAATCATCCAGCGACGCTTAATAAAGCACTAAGAACTTACTTAAAACAGCCGGTTAGAAGTTTTTCCTCTTCTTCTAAACTAGAAACTAGGTCTACTATCGTCCCTACTGGATGCAATAAAGGTACAAAAAGCGCATGAACGAGATGTCAAGTTGGGGGCCAGGCGACATTGCGAGTATAGAGTCAGACTCCTGGAAAGAGGACACGAAAGTGGCCCGACTAGAGGCACTCTGCCAAAAATTCTTGGACCTCGTGCAAGACCAGGTATACTCCTTGTAGCATGTTGTTGACTAAAAAGTACTTCTAGTAATATTCAATTCTACTTATGTAATAGACTATAGTAGACTATCAAGTATAATTCAGAAGCGTAATATAGTACTAGCAAGTATTTAATTAATTCTATTGACATACATTTTTTTGTTCAAGAGAATATCAAGATTTGGATCTTCTTCGGTTCAACTCATTATTCTTAGGTATCCCACTCTAAGTCCTCAAAATCCATTCCAAAAAACTGCATAGCTGCGGGAGACAGTAAATGTGTGCGAGCTGAAGCAGGCGATGACTCCTGAAGAGTACGAGGAGCATCAGGAGGAAGTCGAGCGAGAACAGGCGGACGAGGCGGCGGCCAATGCTGCTGCAATGTCGGTTGAGGATGACGTGGACTCGGACGATGAGAAGGGCGATGAAGATCGAGCCATCTACAATCCATTGAAGCTACCCGTAGGGTGGGATGGAAAGCCGATCCCCTACTGGCTGTACAAATTGCACGACATGGGCCGGGAATACAAGTGCGAGATCTGCGGAAACCACTCCTACTGGGGACCACGCGCGTTCCACCAGCACTTCTCGGAGTGGAGACATGCGCAAGGCATGCGCGCACTCAAAATTCCGAACACAAGACACTTTCGCGAGGTACTACTACTACCTTCGAACGTAGAGATCTACCTATCTACTATCCTTATCCACCTCTTATATACTATCACTACCACTACAACAACGACAACTACTTATTAATTTTCTTCCATCCTACTCTTAGGTAACGAAAATCGTCGATGCTGTGTCCCTGTGGGAGAAATTGAATAAGGAAGCGACCCTCACCGAGTTCAACCAGGATACAATTGAATGCGAGGACGCTCAGGGCAACGTCATGAGCAAACGCGCCTTCGAGGATCTGCGAAAGCAGGGTTTGGTGTAACTTCCTCGATGCTCGACGCTCCTTCGCGTTGTCATTTGTTTTTTTCTCCTCTGAGGATATGAAAGTTTTTCTCCTTTTCACCGAACATTAGACCACTCAATGAGGTACAACTGAACTCTCTGAATAATGACAACATTGGTTTTTCTCCCAAGAGGACCCTTCGCGAGAAAAGTTCCCGATCTTTCGCTCTCATTCCCCTATGACGCGTTCCTGAATGTCAAAAAAAAAATAATGATTCGCATCTTGTTTTTGAGACGACCCTTGTCGTGAAACCTTTTGATGTCGCTAGCACGCAGGTAAGGAAAGCTACATGTAGGAGCGTCATGGCGAAGAGGCGATCATGAGCAACTTTTCGTGGTGTGGTGTTTGCGGACCATGATCACGCGAGGGACACCTGAATCAAATCTGAAACTGCTGCTTCCGAAAACAGCAGTTCTGCCTTATTTACGAAGAAGAATACAAGGTCTAATTGAGTACTACTTGTCTTCAGGATCTGAGCAGAACAACGAAGATTCAAGTTTATTTTGTTTTTCCCGTTCCCGGAGATCTTCGAAAAAGTATGTGTGCATGATCTCAGCAACTCGCTAGTCGTCTCTGTGGGCTTTAGGACTCGCTTCTAGGCTCAGAGTAGAGAAGTTTCTGGTGAAGTGGTGACTCTTGTCTCTAGTGAATTGGTTGTAACATGTCAATGGAGGTTCTAGTAGTTCAATGTTTCTATTTTACTTATTTTTCTCAGGCGTTTTTCATGATAATAGTACTCAAACAGATATTCAAAAATGACATTGCAGCTACTTTTGATTTTGTGAATACTCGATGTGAAAGAAAATGGTCGCTCCAGTACTAGTTGCAGGTGACTATATTCTCCTGCAGAAGGCAGATGGATCCCGATTGACGGCTCCCCGAGGGATCGGCGTTGAGTACCAGGAACACGCGCAAGCGGAATTTGTTGCCCTGCTGGAATTAGAGACCTCGTTGTCCACCTCTGCAAATGCTGCAAATGTAGACCGCTGTTGTGACAACAGACCACTAAATGAACAGAACATTAACGGAACTACAGAAGATTGGACAGAAGTTGAAAAGGATCGTGAACACGATGTGGAACAAAAGATGCGTACACGCGCCTCTACTTCCGGTCGGAATTGTAAAGAGATGCCACTTGATGTTGACATCGTGCCTTTGGAGATGCCGCTGCAATTATCGGAAAAGAGCACAACAAATTGTGATATTGACAAAAGAACTCCAGTTAAGAAAAGGAGCGCTCCTCGAGTTAGAGTTTGGAGAGTGCGCGGTTTAGATGCAAAGACGGCAGAGCGCATTGGTTCCCGCCTCGTTGCTAGTGATTTGCTGCGTGTCTTGCCGTCGGACATGGGAGATGAAGTTACGGAGGATGGCACCGATATGCAAGGATCTACTAGGCAGGGACAAGAGCACCTCTTTCCTTCCGAGAAAGTGTTTTGCGCCGTTTATGGTTTGAGAGATCAACAAGGCGACAGAGGGCCTGGGGTGTTTGGTCGGGATTATAAGGAGGAAATACGGTCAACGTGGTTATCTTGGAAAAAGAAAAACCTTCCTACTGCAGTAGAAATACGGAAACCTGTGGCCTTGCGGGACCACTTCTCATCTCAGATGATCTCGCAGAACACGAGCATGTCGCAGAACATTCAAAACAACAAGCGTGACTTACGTTTTTTCGCTGTTCTCACAGTAGAACTCGGTACACACGCAGACGACGAAGCAGTGGGTATATGGAACAAGCAGATGAATGGTGCTACTGCTCCGATGTCGACAGCAGCTGGAGCAGCGGATGTCGAGAGAAGACAGCCCAGTAGGAACAGTATCACCCTCACGGAAGCGGTTGGTTATTCGACCTTTGTCCAGCGACTGACTCGTCTAGAGGAAAGGCGTACCAAAAGCCGGTGCGGCGTGCGTCCAGCTTTGGCTCTCTTAATGGCGAACCTGGGCAAGGTGGATTTAGACACGGACATCGTACTCGATCCCTTCTGTGGTGTCGGAAGCCTGCTGTCCCTCCCTCATCCTTTTTTTGAAGACACGAAGATAGGGGATGACCATAAAAACCATATGAACAACATAAATTGTGGGTATCGCCATGTTCGTTTTCCATCGTGTCGCATCGGCAGCGACGTGGACGGCGAAGGCTTCGCACCAGGAGCACTTGAGCGTGTTGTGGCGGACATTAGGCGCTGTTGTTGGCGGCGCTGCGACGCGATTCTGGCCGATCCACCTTTTGGTCTCCGTGAATTCCCCACGCGAAATGATCCTGTAAACAATCATAAAACCACTGGTGCGACATCAACGACGTTGCTGGAGGAGCAAGGAGGTGTTAATAGTTCCAATATGGACAAGAAGAAACCCATTGTTCGCAGAAACAATTGCTATATTGGGGATAGATCATCAGAAGAACTCCTGAGGGACGCGAAAAAGTACGTTGGTGCGTTACTCGCTTGCGCCTTCAAATGTTTAGCTCCAGGTCAACGGCTGGTGTATCTGTTTCCCGTTTTTCCTTGCCAAGCTGCGCTTGGGCTGTGGGACAGAGACGGCGTTGTATTGCGGTATGAAAAACAGGGCTTTCACAGGCAGAGAAGATACGATCCCCAAGTGCTGCCTGCCCACAAATTTCTGGCTCCTTCAAGCGTCTGTGCGAATCATGGTACTCGGCAAGAAGAGACTGAGGAGGATAGCGACAAGAGGCTCCTGAATTGGCGATTACTGGAGAGACATCGGGGTTTCGCCCTACTAAGTGCGACAGTGTCGCCGTGCCGTTCGGGACAGATGGCCCGCCTCGTCGTGGTCATGCAGCGCATTCCTGTTCTTTCTACCTAAGTGCTCAGAACAGATGTTGCCTGAATAGACCCAAAACCCATTCCTTTTCCACAACAGAGAGAACGATCATGTAGACAGGACTTTCAGCATTGTCTCTCCAATGAGAAATTCCATCCTTCTATATTCCTACGAAAGAAAGTTAACTGTCACACAACAGGGATACGACTAAAAGTTTCTTGTTTCGTAGTGCAAGAAAAGATCATTGCACAATATGAAAAGCTCATCCCACTAAGTAGGACAAAAGTGCTTAGAAGATTCTCGTTAGATCCCCACGTTTTCCCACGTTATTTGAGCTCTCTCGATCCCAATAGAAGATCAAAAACACGAACAAAGTTCTCGTTCCCAAGCGATCAAAATCACTGATAATTCTAAGTGGAAGATCACATGAAAGTTCCGCAGTACGGGTCTGAAAAGCGATCTCTCAGTTCTTCATGACGCATAGAAACAACTGTGGCGAGTTGGTGTTATGAAAATGCCATATACAACTAGAGAATGGCGACGAGATGATGTACCTCCCAACCATGTAATTTTCCAACTCCTGTGATAAAGATATTTTTTCAGTTCTCAGCAGTGGGGAAAACAAGGGTGATGTCTTTTTTCTATGACCTAAACTAAGTTAGTAGCGCGGGACCGGTTACAAGTCGACCCTAAGTCAGAAGATCAATACATTTCCACTTGACGACGACGACCACTCTGAGTTTTCTTTCTTTTTTTCTTATTCAGAAGATACTAGATAGTTGTAGAAGTTGAGTTAAATCAATCTGGGTCTTCATTCACATTGACATTTTTATCTTTTCCGGTCCCTCACCGTGGATTATTCACATCTCTTTTGTTTTACCTTAGTCGGACTTTTAGTTTTACCTAGAATTTCACAGAACAATGACGTCTTTTGGCAACCAGGGTGAGGAAGACCTGGGCGACAGCGAGGTCCGCACCTATGCCTTCCAGAATGAGGATCATACGTTAGGAAACGTCCTTCGGTATGCGCTAAACAAACACCGGGATGTCGATGGAGCGGGCTACAATATTCCACACCCTAGCGAACAAATCCTAAATCTTTGGGTGCAAACCAGACCTGGCACCAACGTCGACGTCGCTGTGCGAGAATGTACTTTTTTGGTTTTTCCTTAGCGATGCTGCCTTAACTATAGTTTGCTGATGGTAATGTAAAACTATTTTTCTAAAAAGAATTTTCATATCTTAGACCTAGGGACAACCTCCTGTCAATCGCTTTCATGTGAATATTTCCCCACCTCACAGCATTGGAAAACGTGCAAGACATGTGCGACCATCTGAGTAGTGCATGGCACGTAGCCGTACGAGACTGGGAAGCAAAGAAGAAAACCGAACAAGCCGCCTCAGCGTCCGCAGACGACATGGAAATAGATCCAGAAGCCACGGAAAAGGACACGCGAAAAAAGAAGAAGAAAAGGAAGGATGAACAAATGTAGGAGGATAAACGATCCTGATCAGCCTGATAAGAAGAAGGGTACCGACTTGCAATGCTGCTGGACGAACTGTTTCGTCTTCCCACAGCAATATTGCCCACAGGGATATTGAATCACGGATTCCTCCTCTATTACTTATTTACGACAAACGCTTATAGACTTATAACAAAACGTCAAAACACGTAAATAACCTTCTGTGCGGTTTGGAACTCCGCGTTTTGGTCAATGATAATGTGTTCGTATGGAAAAAGAATATGATCCAGCTGCTCACACCATGGACGAAGATGAATGGGAATAATGCGGTGAACTTAGTTTGATCTGTCTCATCTAGCCAGTATTTGAAAGTCACCACGACGTGGGAGGCTCACTGAAGAAGGTGATGTCTGTGCGAGAAAGTTGTCTGGTCATGTCACATCAACGTACGACGATCCGAGTCTGTATTGAACACGTAATCAGGTAGTAGTTCCAGCATCGCGACCTTATTCTAGCGATCCTGCATGATAGAATTAGAACGCGCAACTGGATGGAATATTTATTACAACTGGAGGATGGAATATCATGTTGAATCAGGCGGAAATAAGCAAGAATAAGAAATTGTGAATGTTGATATAATAGACTCGTTGGTTGAGATGGAAGCTAGCAGCTGGCAACAGCTCTCGAGCCTATGCTAGCTTTTGAGGTAATCTTCATCAACTCTGATGGAAAATGAAAAAATCTTACCGCCTTGTTCTCATGTTTCGCTGACAGCAGTCGAGAATTATTCCTATTGTTAGAGGCCATAGTGACTACTCATTAGTAAGGCCGTAGGCACTAGGAAATGTTAGTAGAACAGTAGTAAGTAGCAAGAAGGAGGTACTGGAGTAGCACAGGTACTCACAGTACGAATGTAGTCGAGGAATGTAGTTGAGTCGTGTGATGGTTCCTCTAGTACCTGTACCCGAATAGCTTCTAGTAATAGTTGTTTTTTTGGCTGTAGCAAATCAAAAATGGACAGCGTTTGTCTGTGGAAAGAGCACCTGGTGGAGAGCGGGATGAGCCTCCACCGCCGCGAGGTGCGCTTCTCTTCCTTGGTAATGCTGCGCAAGGTGGTAATTCTGAACAAGAACGACCGCGTTTTGGATCGCGGGATCGAGTTCGTGGGGCAAACGCACCCACTAGTCCGGCCAAATAAGCTGCAGATATACGTGAAGGAGGATGTGCCAACTGAAAGAGGACTCGAAAATGGAGAAAAGTTGCAATCAACCCCGTCGTGCTTCACCAGTCTAGTAGGGAGCAATGCGGCTGGCCCACACCAGCCTGGCATTGTGTATAGCTTACCAGGGAAGCCATTGGAGATCGACTCGCTAGTACTCCAGGGAGAATTCACGAAATTTTATGGCTGACACAACACTACATTTAATAAGACCCAACTTATAAGGGATGTTTAACGAATACAACACTACATGGATCTTTGGTAGGATGCACTGCTTACAGGGATGGATGACGTAATGGGTATGGGAAAAATCCTAGGAATGGTCAAGATTGGTACATACACAATCATTATTATGGCTGTTACCATCTTGGCTCTGTATGTTGCTTTGCAGAGTCCTAAAAATCATAGTTGAGACCACTTCTAAAGTATGAGCGTGATGGTATTTGGAGTGAGTCTGGATCGAAATCCCACAAGCTACGAAGACCGCAAGGCATCGCTTCCGTTCAAATGCATGAGGCAGCCGCTCACAGAAGACGATCTAGATGTAGAGTGCATCGACGAAGAAGACGGTAAAATCCTAGAAGATTCGAGTTAGAACAGAACAAAAAGTCACATTTTTGATTCTTGATTAAAACTTTTATAGTTCGCTTTTCTTAAACTTAAATGTTGTGATGTACTATTTACAGGTGCCTCATCGGCAGCATTGACTGACCGCACGTGGATCACTGCAGAAGACCTCGTTGAAGGTACCACTGTTGGTTCGTCCGGAGCTACTGTTGATCCCAGTCTCACTACGACAGCATTGGACCGCGCAGTCGAGGTGGTTGATCAATGCCTGCTGCGGGTTGCTGCGCAGGTGGCGCAGTCTGACGCCGAGCAGAGGAGCGAGAAGCTACAGGATGAGGAGAACGTCAGAGACCATGACAACATGACGGGCGATCATCTGGAACAAAACGAAAGAGTCAATTCTTCCTCATCGACTAAGCAACATGCGGGTGTACCTATTCTTTTTCGTTGCTTCGGCAATGGGGAGCAATTCGTGAGAAGTGTGGGTCGCGTGGCCACGCGTGAACTTGTGCTTGCGGTCTGCCAGTTTCTGCAGAGAGGCGTGCGGCCTGAGGTCGGGGAACAAGAAGCCACGACCTCTGAAAACTTCTGGGACCAGATAGATGCTGACTTTGCCTCGAAAAAGCTGGATGTGGTCTTGGCGGAGGCTCCTAGTTTGTCGCTTCTTAGAGCGACTGGAGCAGGCGCAGAAGTAGATCGCGCGCGCGTGGTTTCCGCTTTTGTGGAAGCGCTGACGTTCGCGTCGCTGTCCGACAGCAGCGACGCGGCACTGTCGGAGCAAATTGGTGTCCTTCAATTCCTTGCATCCATCCTCTTGAAGGACTCACACTTTGCAGCGCTTTTCTTCGCAAGGGAGGACTTTCTAGAAGTGCTTTGCAACCGCGGTCGAGCCGCAACGCGACAGTGCGTATCCACTAAGCGGAGACGAGGAGCAGGCAAGCGCGTGGCAAACGACGCTGCCATGTACGCAAGCAAACGTCAGCGCCTCGACACCAATCGACAGACAGAAAATGGAACATCATCGAGTGGCGCGAATGGCTTCGGGACTAGCGCTACAGGTCTAGCTCTAGGTAGTAGAACTGCCACTGGTGGTCCAGTAGAGGACGAAAGTGAGCTTTTCTTCTGGACACGATGCGTCCTTCGAAAAGCCAGTGACAACGCGAGAAAGGCTGTGCTAAGCGTCATATTCCAGTCAGAAGCAGTCTTAGCTGAACTTTCGAGCATGAAAATCACCATCAAGAAGATAAGCGCAGAACGCAAGAACGACAGCGACAGGACTAGAGATGCAACTGCTCCTTTGACGTCGACAGAGGTCTCCTTGCGAAGTTTGTTTAGTGCGATATCGGAGCGAGAAAGAGATGAAGAACTGTATTTGTGGGGATACTATCCGTGTTCCCACCTGATGGAACGTCTTGCAGCGTGGCGCTGCGTCTCTCACGTCGAAAACGCGCTCAGGCCGCCCAACGACGCGGCAACAGAACACGGACAAGACTCAAAAACGCTATTTGAAGCCTTGAAATCGTTGATGCACTTTTTTCTGTCCGTTACGTCAATGTCCTCCGAGATGAGCGGCGATTCTGCACAAGATGAAGCAGCGCACGCGCCAGCAGAGTTCGCACATGTATTAGCAGGTGGAGAAAGCTTACTAGTAGGTTCGTCGAAGACTGGGGTCGACAGAGATCTAAGAACGCTTCCGGAATGGTTACGCGCTTTCCTGAAGAGTCGTCAGCTAGCGAGCACTCTGGCGCTGGCTCTGGAAACTGCGAGAAAGGAAGAGAAGGATGGCGAGCAAATGAAAGACATGAATAAGAAGCATGTAGTTGTCGACAACAACAGCGTCTCCAAATCAATCGAAATACTCGTTGCTAAAATTGTCTACCTATTTTTGAATGTCCGTGGCGCGGTGGGGCTATTTGACGCCGTGGAGGGGGAGAACCTCCGCGTCGCGCTTAATGCTCCAGAAGTGCGCACTCCAGACGATTTCTTTGCGCTCTTGAGAAACACCGAATTGCCGCCATTGCGATATGCCCTGTCGGTTGATCACGTGAGTGAGTCCACCGTCAAGGTCATCTCTGCCGGTCAAGGAAGAGAAGGAAGAGAACACAGCGCTGGGGCCACGTCGAGCAGCTCTTTTGATCGGGAATTTCGTGGCAGTCTAGCAGTAGGGTCACCGCTGGTTAAGCCGCAGGCCAATGGCGGGAAGCCACATGCGAGTTTCGATGGTCCGTCTAGGCGAGGAACATCCTCAACCCCTAGTAGGGGAGGCGCCTTTATACCGTCTGCGGAGGCTGCGGATGCACAACTAGTGCAAGCGCTTCCCGCAATATTCGGTGCCTACGCCTTCGCACAAGCCGCTGTGTTGCGTTTCGTGGTCGAGGCACGGCAAGTACTTCCGCAACTGAGCAATGTCGAATTTGCGCAACGAGTCCGCATGCTCTCGCTGCCAACGGCAGGTGATGGCACTATGGACGGTGGTGCGCCGTCGGCCGCAGGTGGTAGTGGCACTAGCATGAATATGAAGAAGCCACTGCTTGCAGCTCTGGCGAAGTTGTTGCATGACGGGAGCGCGTATTCCATGGGTCGCTTCTTGCTGTTTCGCGCATTCTTGCTAGAACACGACGGGTGCTGCGCTGCGGCCTTACCAGCAGGGCTACATCCACGGGGCGCCCGGACCCGGATGGTGACCTTCTCGGCCGGGGACTTGACGAGCCACGCGCGTCGAGCCGCCTTGTTCTCGATGCACAGCCTGTTGGACACACTGGAGGCAGGCGTGACCTTAGCACGCGGCGCACCGGAACGCACGTTTTTAGCGCTCCCGCGGTTCCTCACGGGCGTGCTGCACCGCTTCCTGCTGCAGCCGAGCGGGGTGTGCGACGACGAAACGCTGGTTGTTCAGTGCGCGCAGCGCTGCGGCCCGAGGGTGGTGGAACTCTGCGGTCTCCTGCGTCGGGTGATCACCCAGCATCCGCGGATCGATGCGCAAACTGCCGAGCAGGAGCAGCAGCCGCGGTTTCGTAACATGGTGCGTGGTGGCCGACGGTTGGTGGACGAGCACTTCGATCGGCAGGTAGATGAGTTAGGAGCGCAGCTCGCGCTCTTTCAGCGTCGCAGTGACCCACGAGCAGAAGCCGTGCTGAACGCGATTTGCACCTTCGGTGGCATTGCTGGTGACGCAGTCGACCCTTCCGCCGCAGGCGGATCAGCTGCCGGGGGGGACAGCAACGGCGAGGCGGTCGCGGGAGAAGTTGCAGGGGCCATTGCGGTGCAGGGGGCTGGACACGGGCTAGTCGTGGGCGACGCCGCGACGATGAGCGACGCGACGCCCATTTTTGAGTGGGATTTGAAGCGTCTTACGTCCACAGACACGCATCACTACTTCAAAAAGTGCCAAAAGCAAATAGGATTCCTCGCTCATCGCTGCAAAACGGTCGACCTGCCAGAAGTGCGGTATCCCGACTTATCCGCGGAGGAGGCGACAAAGAAGGCGGCAGCCGATCGTCAATCTGCGGGTCAGAGTGCGAATGCCGCAGCAGAGCCTTCACCATTATGGCAGAGATTGAAGTTCGTGAATTTGATTAGGCTTCTGGCCCTTTCCGTTCTCATGACTGTATGTGCCCTATCCATGTTCTTCCCTATGACCTTTCCCTAGACGTAATTCGAATTCATCTCAACATGTGTCATCATTTTTCCTTTGCATGAATACTTACTTTCTGTCCAGCCTTCATCTTTGGCCGATTCGAACAAGTTGGAGCGGTTGCCGTCTGCGTCGCTTGTGAGTGAGGTGCCTCTGATGCATTGGTGGTATCTGGCGAGCAAGTGTCAGGAGAGCCCAGTTTTCTGCGTGGATCTGTTCTTGTCCGGTGCAATAGGCGAGGGCACTGATACGACTGGCTTAGTGGACGCTGCTTTGAACTCAGGTGCTACTGGTGGTGACAACAACATGATGACGAACGGGCGAGACGATTTTGGCTGGGGCGACGACGGGCGAAAGCGGCATGACCGCTCGGGTTTGCAGGACCGCTTCTTCGTAGAAAACCGGGATCTGCAGTTGGGGGACGAGAAGTTGAAGGAGCGGCTGCTGAACACGCACAACAAGCCGCTGGAGATCTACAACCGGTTTCAGCGCGTCCTGCACAGCACGCTGATCAAGTGCGCTGGTGGTCTAGGCGTCAATCTGGAAGCGGCCGCGTTGCAGACCGAGGACCTCCTGTTTCAGGAGGAGTGCTACGAAATCCAGGAGCGGTACTTGCTAGTGGCGGAAGCGGTCCTGCGTGTGCTGCAGCAGGTGCTCATCGCGTTCGCGGATCACGTGCGGCTCCCCAAGTACGTGAGCGAGGATCTGCTAAGGATCTTGCTCTTGCTGGCAGCACGCTTGTCCGGCGGAAACTTTTTCCAGGTGCACGCATCGGCGTCGCCGCTCTTTCAGCTGTCGCGACAGTGCCTCACGCGTCTACTGGAGTGCATCGCGGCGTGGACCCAGCGTTTCGCGCGGCTCAGCACGCTGGGAGTGCACAGCGTCTTACCTCGCGTAGTGGACTTCGCAACTTCGCTTCCGCAAAACCACACCGCGGGTCTACTGCTCTTCGTGACAATGGGGCCTTTGGAGCGTCTCCTTTATGGCACGACGCGTATGCGCTACCTTGAGCTCGATTTAGATCTCGAGCCGTCGCAGCAGCCGGCAGGAACGCCACAGTCCGGGCCAGGATCAGAGCGTCCTCGAGTCGGAGTCCGTGCGGTCTTGGCCCCAGTCGCTGCACGTGGGGCAGGCACTGTTGTAGGAGGAGGTGACACGATGCCTGGAGGAAACGGTCGAGTGGTCTACTCAGCTGACGATGTGGCGCAACTGCGGGAAAACGACATTTTCCACAGTCTAGTCGGGGCGGCGCGCGGGAAGCTGACAGTGTCCGGGTTCAACAAGGACATGGCAAACTTCGAGCTCCACCGACGGCTGAGTACACCTAGCAATCTGAGCTTTAACACCGAGGTCGACCTCGTTCTGAACCGCATTCGGAACGTGTTCTCTCATCGGGCCAACGTTGAGTCCGGCGGACACCAGGTTCCTCTGGAGGGAGAGGGATACCTCGGCGGCGCGCCGGGGCCGCGGTGCAGTCTGCTCGAGCAGACTTTGCCGCATTGCTCCGTGAGCGCGCGTGCCCGATCGCGGTCCTTGTTGCATGCGATGAGCGCCTCCGGAGTGGACCTCGTGTGGCAGCCGAACGTGAACGAGAAGGTCGAGGACGAAGGCGGACGTCGTACGCAGAGGGACGTGGCGTACACCAAAGCGGTGCTTGAGGAAGACAACCGGTTCTCCGAGTTGAATGTCATGGACGTCGCAGAGTTGGCTTTCTTGTTGGTCACGAAGCTGTCCCTCAGCAGCAACGCACTGGTCCACGTGCTTAGCGCTGCGAGTCTGACGAAGCTGTACCGCGACGCCCATGTGCGGTGGCTGCGCGCGCTTCTGCGCGTTTCGGCCGACCTGCTGCAGGAGGCGGAGACGGCTCTGCAGACCGACGCGGCGGCGGCCAAGCTCGCAGCGGAGCAGCCTGCGCTGCCGCCTCCGCAGAGGCTGTCTCCAGCCGAACTAGAGAAAAAGCGGTTCCAGTTCAACCCGTTGCTGCACCGCCTGCGGCGACCGCTGCAAGCGCTCGGTCGTCAGCTGCTGCTGCTGGAGCGGGTCACCGCCTTGGACACGAATGCGATCCTGAAGCAGGAAACGGCGCAACTGTTGGACGTTTTGGTGGTGCAGTTGATCCACCTCTCTAAAAAACACGCGGCCAAAGGTTTCGAGCCTCTGTTGGAGATCGCCTTTCGATTGCTGCACAAGCTGGTAGCTGCGAGCTCCCAGTCTAGTACTTTCTTCCCTGGAATAAAGAATGAAAGAGGTTTGGCTTTTTCCACCACGTTGAATAAGTATGCCTTGCCCACAATCGCGATCCGCGGGTTGAGCAAGAGCATCTGTAGCCAGATCCTGGAGAGCAAAACTACAAGTTCTCGCTTGGTCGAACGAGGCCTGTCCCTGCTTTCGCGCTTGTACGAGAGCGAAACCTATCTTCTACACCTCCTATACCAGAAAGACGAGACCACGACCACCGCCACCACAGCGTCGCCTGCGGGTCACACCACTGGTGGTGGTGGCAGTGGAGTGGCTACAACTGCTAGCACCTCTAGTTTTACTTTCTTTCCCGCAAGCGTAGAAAACGCTACAGCGTGGCCTTCTGCAGTTCCACAAGTTTTTCGGTTCAATCCTGCGGTAAAGCTTGATACGCTGTTGATAAAGCTGAGTGAAGAGCTAAGTGAACTCGCAAAGTCGGTCCAGTCCAGGTCCACTTCCGCGGAGAGAAAGGGGGAGCAGGCGGGACAACATGATGATGCAGAAAATGACGAGGCAGAAAATGACAAGAAGGCGGAGTACCGGCAGGCAGCGGAAACCTGCTGCCTCGTGGGAACGTTGAGCATTAGAATCCTTCGGGACGCGCGTGCTTGCTCCTTTGACCTGTTTCGGGTTCTCGGCAAGCAGGGACGCGAAAAACTCGACAAAGTTTTGACACTTGGTGGCGAGATTCTTGCGGCGCCAAAGGTGATCGAGGCTCTCGGCAAAGGAGGTTCTGTTGAGTATCCAACTTCAATTTCTTTACTGCTTCAAGCACGTCTTGCATCTGTGACGGAGCAGTGGCGTTCAGAGTGCGAGCGAGGTCCGATACCTACTGCAGACGCCCACCAGCCTGCGATCCAGGTCGAGAAGTCTGCGCCAGTTCCATCTTTCGTGATAGAAAATAAAAGCCGAGGTGGTTCGCTGTTGCCAGTGGCGCAGGATTACAGCGCCGCTTCTTCTTCTTCGTCGTCCTCGCAATTATCGCGAGAGAACAACGCTAATAAAATGTTTTCAACAGCACCGCGGGTATCACTCGAGCAAATACTAAGGGGAGTCTCGGAGTTGGAGCTGTCTCCAGAGTGGCAGCGGTTCGCAATTCTCGAAAAATCACTGCCGGGTGAAGCTGACTGGTAATACTATATTTTCACTTGACTTACAGGTACTATCCTCTCTCTCTCTCTTTCTCTCTCTCTCTCCAAGCCATAGAGTTTGTCGTGCTTCTATTTCTGGACCTGAGTTCTTGTAAGACCTTAAGCAAATCTTTTCACTGCAAACTCAAACAGGGTGTTTGACACTTCGGTTGATCGGCATAAGCAGGCAGTGCTACAGGAGCGCAATAGTGTACGCAAAAAGCAGCGGTTGAATGAGGCGTTAGAATCTGGAGAAGCGGAAGATTATTGGACAAGTGATGCGAATTACGGGCAATATTATCGCCGAGACAAAACCGCGAAGGCGAAACAGCTCGCTTTAGGTGGTCCAGCCGGCGGAGACGACAGAATGAAAGCACTAAGGGATCAGGTATTAACATTTTTCAGTGCTCTTCTACTTACATAATTGGTACTAGTAGCTGTACGCTACTAATTACTTGAGTAGCTTCTAGAGTTGTTGTAGCTGAGATTATCTTGGTTCACTAGTGAAAAAGATGTTGAAAAGCACCTTTTTTTTTGTACGACTAGGTTGACGCGCGGTTCATGGAAAGTCTGGCACAACCGGCATTGCCACCACCACCCCCAGCACCCACAAACGTCGTTGCACCAGCACCGACGCCCCCACCGCCTGGTACTTTTACTCAGCATACTGATTTGATTCGTAACAAAATGAGTGTACTACATGAGTGCTTGTTTTGCTTGTTAAGAAACTTTATTTCCTCGAAATTTATGAGTACTTCTTGCCATCCTTTCACCAATGATCTTGGTACAACAACAAAAAAACTTTTTTCAGCAGCAGCTGCCGAACCAGCAGCGCCAGCGAAACCGAAGACTCTTGCGGAAGAATTTGCAGACTTGGCTAAGCGTGACGCGCAAGCCAAACGTGCAGTGAGAGATCCCGCACGCTTGAAGAATGATCCTAGAATGCGGATGCTCATCGCCCAATACCTAGACGAGTACCCTCTCGTAAAACAGTTCCTTGAAGATGAGTCATAACCAGCTGTCCTGATGACATGTTGTAGATACACAGTAGTGTTACCTTTTAATGAATTGTTCCTGAATTCATGATCTCTCACTCTCAGACGACACCACCAGAATATATTTATTGAATTTCCTAGAACAAGTAGCAGTGAATGCTAGACAAATTTAATGAAGTAGTATATCAGGCTAAGAAATTTGAGGTAACATGTTGATGACATCTATTCGCTCTTAAATGGAGAATGATTTCGCACGTGCCCACTCCCAGATCATCTCCTGTTGAGATGAGCCGACCCCTTCCTTGGACAAAATCGCGACATTGAGACGCATTTCAACACACAAAGTGGCGCCTGCGGGTGCTCATATTAAGTGCGCACATGAATCAAAAAGATTCATTTCGATTGACCTTCAATATTGCGAAGCATACTGCTCGGCCTGGGAAGCGCAAGGAAAAGCAGCCATCCCGCGATAGACACAAAGTGCCACGTCATTGTCGAAAGAAGTGTGTTTGAAAAAGAAACTTGTCAATGTAAGGGTTGGCAGACAGACTGTGCAATATGAAGCGAAAAAAATGTGTCTACTTCGAGTGAAAGTAGAGAGAAGCACACGCGCTGAAGGATCTGCCCACATCCGTACAAGCTAGTCAAAGAAATAAACCGAAAATGCTGTCAAAATAGGCCGAATTTCGCCTCATCTTGTAGGTGTAGATGGTGAAGCTTCTAACAAAAATTAATTGTGCCAAAAAATCAATCGTCGTGGTTGTGGTTGATATTGTGAAAATTAATTGTGCCAAAAAATCAATCGTCGTGGTTGTGGTTGATATTGTGAAAATTATAGGTTACCAAGATGAAGGGTCTACCAGTGAAAGCAACGACGCCATCTTCACCTGCTGCCCGTAAGACTACTATTAAGCACAAAGTGAAGCGAAAGCAGAAAAATGTTGAGGCTTCTGTTGGCGCAAGAACGGAGGCAGGTAAAAAAGCAAGTGGTCGTCCCAAGAAGAGCAATACTTCAGCAGCAGTTGTGGACGTAATGCATCTGGAAAAGACTAAAACAGGACTACACAAAGCAAGCAAAAATGGACCCAAAAGTGATTCTTCCTCTTCGTCTTCTCCTTCAGCAGCAGCAGTAGCAGCAGTTCTTCCTGTCGACATTGAGCAACATCTAACATCCGCCGACAAACAACCACCACAAGCTCCACTTCTAAAAGTGAAGGTGGTAGACGAGGCTTTTATCAATAAAGTCGCGGAAAGATGCTCGCGTTGCACCCAGAAGGATCTGGATTACCTCTTGTCACTTCGGAGCATATCGCCGCTCCGTGGCGAGGAGGTATTGCTATTCGCGAAGTGAGTATCTGTTCTCCAACTTATATGATTTTAAGAATTTGATCACAGGACGACATCAGAAGATTTCTACAACTACAACACAAACTACTTGGAGTCAGGCAATAAATATTACTTGAATATATAGTACAATAGTCAACCTCTACGCGGAAAACACGGATTTGTGGCCGATTGTGCGGTCTTATGCGCCCCCAGTGTGTAATGTGGATGATCTTAATTGAACAGGTTAATATATTGATTGAAAGGGCGGTGGCATATAGTCCTAACGCAAAAAAAAAACTCTACGGGTGCTACGGACACTCAGCACTATCAGAGACGCACACACGACATGACTAGACATGAACAGAGCTACGCACTATTTCTTTGTTGGACACGAAATAGACTTTCACTCTTCTACGCGATAGAGGACCTTATTCAACGTGAACTGAACAGGGTTCGTCTGTGCTGTCGCTTGTTGCGCGTAGTGCGAATCGAATGCAGGCAACTGTTGCTGACAGCGTGTTGTGGAATCTGCTGAATACGATACGCAATGACTACAGGCAGACTGGGAAAGCTGACCGCGGGGGACTTTTTAACCGGGTACGACGAGGGAGCCTCTTTTTGGAGCAAGAAGCAGAATCTTCAAAAACAGGCGGGAACGCGGAACACACGGAGACCACTTCTTCTACGTCCAAAATCCAAAAAAAATCCACGTCGGATGAGCCATGCACGGCCATGCGCATGCTGCGGCTACTCTCGGAGAACGGCGGCCACATTGGTCGCTGTGGGGAGCGGCACCTTCTACTAGTCTTAGCTCCTGTGCTTGCAGATTTGGTGCACGCTCGCGACCAACTTTTTAGCACTGTTGGTTTAAAAATAATCGGAAGATCGGACCACGAGCAGCATGGAGGGAAGAAGTACGAGGAGGACGACAAGGCAACCGCAACGAAACACGTCATAGAGCTAGATCGTGACCTCTCATCCAAAGTCGTCATTGATGACTACGAGAAATGGAGACTGGCACTGTTCCACATGAGACAGTGCCGCATTCTCTTGGCGATGGGAGGGGATCCAAAGGTGCGGAGAGAACAAATAGAGAGAGCGCTAGGCGGCCAAGTAGATGACTCAGAAAATTCCGGTTTTCTAGAGGAGGTCGACAGGCAAGTGGTTCTAGAGTCCGCCCGTTGGGTAGATGGAGTAGCCTTTGAGCTTTTGCGGCGGTGCTTGCTGGCGCGGACGCACTCGTTTTTGCGTCGCATTCAGAAGCTTTTGGGAGCCCTTCTCGTCTCCAATCCTGCTTTGCTTCCAACAGTACAAGCCGTGCAGCAAGGAGCCTACGCGCGGCCACGCGATGAGCGCTGGCTCCGTCGCAGACTGCTTCTGATAGCATGGACGAGGGGACAGCAGAGCATCGAATCTGCAAACACCTCCAACGAGAAAACATCCAATCGTGACACCCTGTTGGTGCCATCTCTGCGACGATTACCCGGGGAACTTTTGAAGCATGTGTTGGATTTCATTTAGGTCGCTTCGCTCTGTCGATGTATCTATCTGTTCCTTAGGATAGACGTAAGTAGTTGACATCGGTCCTAATTTTTAGAGTTTATAGCTAATGAATTCAAGTGTTTTGTCCATATAGATCCCCATTCTCAGCTGTACAATGTAACTGTATCTGGAGTTTTCAAGAATGATGACCAAACAAATTCAAATTATTCTTGAGTTAGCGCTGTATTCCCTTTCATATGTTGTTCATACCAGGAGTGTTTTCGCGTTTTCATTCACATGTGAAGAACAGTCGTCCTTGTTGTCATACTAGCTTGGAGCGTCCGATAACATCCCTCCCACTAGGATCCCCCTCCTCCCCAAAATAAGAAAATAAGCAAGGCAAAGACGTAAACGCTATGCGTTTTCAAATTTCGAAAATTTTCCACGTTTTGCCATCGTTTGAGAATTGGGCCTAGTCCGTTTGAAGTCAAGGGCGAAGGTCCCAGAACTTTTTGACTTTAAGCCCTACCGCTGACATTCGACTTCTTGGATTTGCATTCTTCAAATTTCGAAAATTCTCCGCGTTTTGCTGTCGTTTTGGGATTGAATTCTGTGCGTTTGAAGTGCTAAGACCCCAAAGTGTTTGATTTTAAGCCCTTTCGCTGAGATTCAATTTATTGGATTTACATTGATCAAATTTCGAAAATTCTCCACATTTTGTCGCCGTTTTCGGGTTGGCTTCTGTGCTTTTGAAGTGCTAAAGTCCCAAAGTTTTTGATTTTAAGCCCTGTCCCTGAGATTCAATCCCTTGGCTTCACGTTTTTCAAATTTCGAAAATTTTCCACCTTTTTCGTCTTTTTGGGAGTGAATCCCGTGGGTTTGAAGTGCTAAGATCCCAAAATTTTTGATTTTAGGCCCTTTCTCCCGAAATTCAATCCCGTGGCTTCATGATTTCGCGGCTTCCTGGTTTCGTGGTTTCAAATTTCGAAAATTTCCAAAATTTCCAAAATTTTCCACATTTTGTTGGCTTTTTGGGATTGAATTTTGTGTGTTTGAAGCGCTAGAGTCCCAAAATTTTTGACTTTAAGACCTTTCGCACGAGATTCAATTTCTTGGATTCGAATTTTTCAAATTTCGAAAATTTTCCACATGTTGGCGCCGTTTTGGGATTGGGTTTTGTGCTTTTGAAGCGCTAAAGTCCCAAAATTTTTGATTTTAGGCCCTCTTCCTGGGATGCAATTTCTTGGATTTGCATTCTTCAAAATTCGAAAACTTTCCACATTTTGCCGCCGTTTTCGGGTTGAATTCCGTGCGTTTGAGGTGCTAAGATCCCAAAATTTTTGATTTTAAGCCCTTTCCCTCGAATTTAATTCCTTGGATTCGCGTTTTTCAAATTTCGAAAATTTTCAGCCTTTTTCTTCATTTTGAGAGTGAATCCCGTGAGTCTGAAGCGCTAAGATCCCAAAATTTTTGATTTTAAGCCTTTTCCCCCGAGATTCAATTCCATGGCTTCATGGTTTCGTGGTTTCATGGTTTCGTGGTTGTTTCGTGGTTGTTTCGTGGTTGTTTCGTGGTTGTTTCGTGGTTGTTTCGTGGTTTTTTCGTGGTTTCATGGTTTCATGGTTTCATGGTTTCATGGTTTCATGGTTTCATGGTTTCATGGTTTCATGGTTTCATGGTTTC